ATTAAAAACACGCTCATTATCAATTTTTTAGAAGATTGATGTTGTGATACGGTACCACCTTCATGTTGATACCTTCTAGTTGTCTTGGCAAAAGATTTGTCCTCTGGGTTGAGCTAATTTAACTTTTAATCCCAAATCTCAAAGTTTCATGGATAAGATAATATAATAAGAGTAAGTTGGAACTTCACATCCTTAAAAAGTGACACATGCACATTTTATAACATAATGGCTGCTATTGTTCTTCTTTCTTTGATACGAGTTTTGGTATTTTTTTCTTGAATCACGTATTCATGCACAGGGGTAAATATTGTAAAGAATAATGTTTTGCAATTTTCTAAGGTCTTGCTACTTTTAGATATTCTTATGTGATTAATTACATAAACCTAACTGAACTGTTCTATTAATATAATTTATCTAAATATGGTACTAGATATGTTTAATAATTTCTTTAATTGTAATTTTGTTTTACTGATGTACATGATAAAGAAAGTGATTTTTGTTATGGCTGGAACATTAATAAGCCATTCATAGCACCATTCAAGTAAAAAACAAGCTTCTCTTGCAAGTATGATCATTCAAATACAGACTTAGCAACAGAGTGTTTTACATATGCCTACCCCCATCTATTTCGGATAAAACACACTTCAATGGCATTAGAATCATCATCTAGGTGATAGCATCCCTTGTATCAAAACAATTGATCTCATTACAACAATCCTTCCAACTATCAACTTGGATCATGCTCAACCGTGTACGCTTAGGTCCAACTCCTCTTGAATATATCATTGTCCATATGGGTAAAACTGAATCATAGGTATTCAATATATGATTAAAATTTAGAAAAAAAGGAAAAAAGAAGAAGTATCACCTCTTAATAAGAGGCAAGTGTTTTGGATACATTATTCGACCTTACGCCCACTATCATTGAGGCCTATTACTACGGAGAAATTCTACACTCAAGAGGGTAAGTGTTGTGCAGGCTAGTTGGCAAATTATCTCTTAAATCATCTCACTGAGTTTGGTTTTACGTGGTTCGACAGCATCCCTTCAAAGCTTACTTTCCTCTTCCTGGCTGATTTCTAACACAAGCTATCAAACTCGTGCAAATTAAAATTAATCAGGTTCAATGAAATTTGTAATATAGTGCAAACATGAGTCGTCTCTCAAAGAAATTTCAAAGATTTAAATTGTTGATAGACAGAAAAATAAAAGGGTTTTTTTCTTCTTCTTAAATTCGATTAAAACTAAAATAAATTGTAAATTGAGATTTTCAAATTAAAGACAACCAACCTAATGTGAGGATTCATAGAATGTCCATCATTGGATAAAATAAATACCAATTTGTGATTGACCTCAATTGAATTGGAATCCCTAAATTTAGTTGGGAACCCTCTCTAGGTGATCGTCTAGTGATTGGTCGAATATGGCGCATTTACACTGCGATCGCATGAGTATCAACCCGTTTGACTTAAGGTCATTGGGTTAATCAATCTAGTCATTAAATCTAATGGTCAATCTCTTCCCTAAGAATGTGATCGCGTACCTCAGCTTGAACACTCGCAATCGCGTGATGTCCAATCCGAGTTGGGAATGGGAAACAAATTTGGTTAAAGGGAGAGGCGCAAGTCCTCTGGATTCATCCAATGAATCCTTAGCCCTTAGGTTATTAAAGGTTACTTAGACTAACATAGCTAAGAACAAAAAGAAAAGAAAATTGAAGAAGGAGATGAAGAATATAATGTAAAAACTTGAGTTTTCTCTCGAGAATCGTCAATCGTACAAAATTCTCAAATGAAGATTGCCGAATTTTTTTTTAAACGAGCCCTTTTAACCCACATCTAAACCGAGTTAGGGCTCCACTAAATTCGGCCCACAATAATAAAATAAATAGGAGCAAAACTGAAAAAATGGCCTTGGGCCTCAAAAGAATTGGGTTCTAATTTATAATTACAAGTCCAAATAATTAAATAAAATTTCAGCATTTGACATCTGACTTGGGGTCCAACTTAGACCATCTTCTTGTTCAATATGAGGATTTATGTATTCATAACATTTATAGCCTCCCGAGTTATCTGCAAAACACAACAAGAATGAGATCAATCGAACCCCCGTAGGAAGAGACATGATCAAAATATTGCAGTAACGTGAATCTGGAATTTAAGGACGGAAATAAATCAAATCCAATAAAAACCTAAAAGACCATTATTTAACTCCAAATAATCCCAAAAATACTAATCAAGAGTAACAAACAAGTACAATAAAATATTAATTATCAATTTCTCATTTGTAGGACAATCTCGCCAAATTACAGCTCCTCAGTTTGTTTGTTTTGTTTTGTTTGGAGCTTGTTGCTCTTCCCTTCACCAAAAATAATTGATGGATTGATTATGAGTGGGTTGTGTATACTGTATATAGCAACATGGGAGGGTCGTCTTTATGCACAAATTGTTTTTTTTTTCTTTCTCTAGAAGGTATTGAACTTGTGGCTTTTCCTTCTAGACACTGGGCTTAGTTTTTCATCTTCCAAAGACCTTGCACAACATAAACTAAAATTCCTTATTTGCTCAAGAATACTATAGAAAAGGTCTTCTTTCACTATGATACACTATGATACATTAACTAGTTACTTTAATAAGAACTTTTTCGTAATTAAAATTTAAAGTGAAGATTTCAAAAGAATTTTTGTCTATGGATGCCTTGTGTCTTGGTTGGTGTAAGATAAATGAGCCTTCAATTTATATATTCAACACTTGCAGTGGCTGTGCACGACATGCCCATTAGCGTTGTAAATGTGACCCTTATTATCATATGGTGAACGATGGTAAAAACATATTAATATATTGATAGAAACTATTATATATATGGGAAAAACATCTATTCTTTTAAAGGGCTAAATTTATTATTAATTAATTAATAATTTTAATCCAATAAATATAACCGTTGATGGACGGAAATCAACGGTTAGGATCTAAAAAGATATAAGTTTATATCCTTTAAAAGGATAAATGTTATTCCCTATATATAGAGGAATGTTATAGTTATAATTTTTTTTTTATAATATCTTACAATCATATCTTAACACCGTTGATTCCGTCAATCAACGGTTATGATTTTTGCAAATTAAACTCATTAATTAATTATTAATTCACAATAAATAGTAACCGTTGATTGACGGATATCAACGGTATTAAGATATAGTTGTAAGAGGTTGTAAAAAAAAGTTGTAAGTATAACCTTCCTTATATATATATATATATATATATATATATATATATATATATATATATATATATATATATATATATATAAGATTCGCTTTTTCTACAGTCAATGTAGATAACTTATCTATAGTGAGCCCAAAACGACGTCGTTTTGAGGCGAAAATCAAGGTATTTTTGTAACTATAATTTATTTCAAGGTTATAATAGTATTTTTCATTATAATTTTTTAATTTTTCAATCCAAAACGACGTCGTTTTGAGAGCGAATGTAAATGACTTATCTACATTTACTTTAGAAACATTAAAGCCACACACACATATATATATATATATATATATATATATATATATATATCATCAATTGTGAGATTCTAATATATTGCAGAATTATATTAGTCTTTATCATTATATTTTTTTAATCTTATAACCCAAAAATGACGTTATTTTACGCTCAATAACTTTATCTCCAGTTACGAGATAATTGAGAGCGAATGTAAATGACTTATCTACATTTACTTTAGAAACATTAAAACCACACACACACACACACATATATATATATATATATATATATATCATCAATTGTGAGATTCTAATATATTGCAGAATTATATTAGTCTTTATCATTATATTTTTTTAATCTTATAACCCACAAATGACGTTATTTTACGCTCAATAACTTTATCTCCAGTTACGAGATAAATAATTTTCCCTAACTGATTTGATTGAAATTATGATCGAACGACGTGAAAAGAAAAAATAAAATAAAGTACACATAAAGAAGAATATATTTATGGGAAAGTATTTGTTATTTTTTTTAAATAAAAGGCCTAAACCACAAAATAAAGTATTTGTCATTTTAAATAATACAATTTTGTGTCATTTCTAACGAAACTACATCGTTTTGGTGTATTTTTGCATTTTCTCTTATCCACTTTTTTCTTCTTCCTAATTTCATAAAAAAGAAAAAATGTAAAAAAAAACTAAAATTACACCAAATTAACATAATTTCATTAAAAATTACAAATATTTTCCCCTTTATTTAATATCCTAAAAAGAGGATATATTTACAATTTATTATCCCTTAAATTTTTTTATAATTACTTTCTTTATCGTTGAATCAAATCAGTAACTCTTATTTATAACAATTTGATCCAAAAATAAAGAAAATAATCATCAAATATTGTAACGATTGGAAGTATAATCTCTCCGAATATATTTTCTCCTTAAATTTTTACACTACTTTATAACTTAAAACTTTTGTATCTATTTTTTTTTTTGGTAAATAACTTTTGTATCTATTTATATATTCACAAACTTATATAAATTTTAATAAGAGTCCCATTCATTTGATGTTTATGAAGAAATAAAGAAATATAAAATTCCCACCTGATTAAATTCAATTTTTCCATTCAAATGGAATCTAAAATTTTAGAATTAATTAATAACCCACTATAAGAATTTTTTTTTTTTTTTAGTATACAGTAGAAGCAAATTATTAAACTTTTGTGGGGTCTCAATGTCAAACAAAACCGTTATATTCAAAAAATTTCAATTCGGAAGACAAAGGTCCTACTTCCGAACCGGTTTTTAATCCGGTTCAATCCGTAATAAGAGAAAGCTACAGAGAGGGAGCGCATTTTGATTGAACCGCCAGATCGAAATTCAAATTTCACGACACTCTCCCCAACCCACAACTCCATTTCACGTTCTGCAAACCCTAACATTGTTCCCGATCAGATCCAGTTCAAAGAGATTCCTTCTGCGAACTTCTGCGAAGCCTGACATGGCTTCCCGAAACCAGAACAGGCCTCCTCGCAGCCCCTCAAATGTAAGCCCTTTCTCTCTCGTGTTTATGTGTTTCTTAGATTTTTATTCAAGTATGTTTGGTACAAGGGAAAAAAAAAAAATAGTCTCTAATTTGATATGAGTAGAACACGATATGCTGAAAAGGGGTATTAAAGGTGTTTTTCTATTTGGACGCAGAAAAAGGGAGGTGGTGAAGAAGTTCCCTCAGATAAGCGTCGAAGGATTGGAGCAGAAAAAATGGAGCGACAGGGTCGAGCCAGAGCTCCCTTTGCTACACTCAACAACAAAACAGATGCTAATGATGTTGGAGGTGCAGAAGTCCCCGAATGTGGCACTATTGATTTCACGAAAGAGGAAGTAGAGGCGTTGCTGAATGAGAAGATGAAAAAGGGGAATCCCTTTGATACTAAGGTTTCTCTTCATCTCGCGTGGCTAATTCCTTGATTTAATCAGTGATTTTGTTTATCGTGAAGCTTATTTATTTTTTTTTATTTTTTTTTTGCAGAAAAAAATGGAACAGATGACAGTCCTCATTAAGCGGTTTAAGGATTGTGTTCGATCCTTTCAAAGAAAGGAAGAAGGCTATATCCAAGAAAAAGAAAAGCTTCAGACTGACCTAGAATCTGCTGAGAGGATACAAGCTTCTCTTTCAACTGAGCTTGAGAAAGTTCGGATTGAGAAATCAGATGCTGAGCGGAAGGTAATGCTATGTTATGATCTGGATAATTTACACACTTGGTTAAATTTTGAAGTCCATGACCAAGTTACACAATAATTATTTCCTATGTAGCATCGATACTGACACAAGACACGACACGACACTCCGACACGTTAATTTTAAAAAATGTTAGATTTCGACATGTTAGAACACATTTTGATATTAAATAATATTTTTAATTTATGTTGCATATATTATATTTAATAATTTAACAAAAAAATAAATCTAAATTTATAATACTGATTAATTTTGCAAAGAAATATAAGATATCACAAATATTATATTAAATTCAATAAAATGGTAATAGTAATCCAACAAATCTACTAGTTACAACTAAAAATACAACGCAACGCAACCTTTGAACTTTTTTTTGAGTTTTTACAAAGTGCGTTAGAGTATCGGGGAGTGTCAGAGTATCGGAGAGTGTCGGGAAGTGTCGGACATGACACGTCGAGGTTTTTGAAGTGTCGGTGCTTTATAGATTATTTCCCTCTTGGATAATTCTATGGGATAGGTTTTACTTACCACCTTTCACTGATAATCTTGATATTGTTGGATCAAAATCAAATTGACGGTCTCACTTGATGCCATTTTCTAACCGTTGAATTGATTTTAATCTAACGATAATAAGGTTGGTGGTAAGAAAAAAAGGTGGTAACTATGACCTCTCTCAAATTCTATACTATGTTGAATGATTATTGTTCCTGTTTATTGGTTATTCTATTCTTGCAGGTTGCCTCACATTTTTCACCTCTGAAAACTTTTGAGTTTTGCAGGCCATTTCCTCACAAGAGTATATTGAGCGTCTGCTGCAGTACAATGAAAACCTTCGATCAGATCTTAATTCAACTAATGAGGCACGCAAACGACTGGAAACAGAGAAACCAACCATTCTGGAGAACCTTAGCAATGTAAGAGCCCACAATAAGGCATTGCAGGAGAAGTTGGCATCCCTTAAAGTAAGTTGTTTGTTTAGTGTGATGTTTGATTTTAAATATTTAATGCTGTTGAGTTTTGTCTTTGATAATGTTTTGTCCATAGGGAGTTTTAATTCTTAAATTTTCCAATTGATATTGCATAAAGTGTTTCCAATTAACTGAAATGGCTGTGAACAAGTTGGAATTTTTTTCTCCATTAAGTGCCACCTCGGGGTATGGAATGATAACTGAGTAGATTGATTAAGCTTGGCACGATGAGCTTGCCTTGTAGTTCTTCTATTGATTGCAATGACATCCTTCTCCATGCAAGCACTAGATTTCAACTTGTATAATAATTTTTAACATGCCATAAGTAACCTTTTTGAGAAGAGCAGTGAAACACAAATAATTTGAACTTGCAACCTTATACATTTTACTAATATTACTATATTGTCACTGAAGTATCTTAATAGTCTCCTTTTTGTGTTTTTTGGTTCCCTTGCTTATATCTTTCTTTATCAGGCTTCACAGGATGAGGCCATACAGCAGAAAGAAATTTTAGCAAATGACATCAAATGTCTACGGAATGAATTAAAACAAATCAGAGATGATCGTGATTGCCAACTGGGACGAGTACAGGCTTTAACTGCTGAAGTAGCAAGATACGAAGAATATACAGGGGAATCATGTGCTAAATTGGATACCTTGATGATTAAAACAAATGCCCTTGAGGTTAGTTGTATTGGTTGGATCCACCTTTTGGTTATTTTGATCCTATTAGTTATTTAATAAGCACTCCTCTGTTCATTAGATTTATATAGATAGTGCCTTTCTTTATAGGAGACATGTTGTTCTCAAAGGAAGCAATTAAATATGCTTCAGCAGCAGTTGATTGCTGAAAAGGAGAAGTTAAAGGTAAGTCAGTTGTGTGTGTTTAGTTAATTTCTCTGGAGGATTTACTTAACTTCATTATAATTTAAAACTGCGAATAAATGATTAAATATTTAAATGGCGTTATTTGATTTTTGCTTGTAGTAATTAATAGTTAGTGCATATTGATAATTACAACTGAAACTTTCTTTTATTTTCTTTTTGTTAGGTGGCCGATTTATCTGCTTCAGAGACAAGAACAATGTTTGAAGATCAAAACAGGACTATACATGAACTACAGGAACGACTGGCAGAGAAAGAATTCCAAGTAATTGAAGGAGAAAAGTTAAGGAAAAAATTGCACAACACTATACTGGTAAATCCGTTTTTGCTGAAAAATTATTACTACCTAAAAAATTCCCCCCTTATCAGTTTTTTTTGGCATAATAGATCCGTAGTATATAATCATATCTGTTTGTAGGAACTGAAAGGAAATATTCGTGTGTTCTGCCGTGTCCGACCTTTGCTACCGGATGATGGTCCTGGAGCAGATATGGTTGTTTCTTATCCCACGTCAACAGAAGCTCTTGGCCGGGGCATCGAATTGGCACAGAGCGGTATATGCACAAGCTTATTTCCCCCTTCTCTAGTGTTACTCTTCCTAATAAGTTTGCTGTATTTTATGTGCTTATTCAATTATAATAATTTCATTCTTTAACACGAAACAGGTCAGAAGTACCCTTTTACATTTGATAAGGTATTTAATCATGAGGCTTCTCAGCAAGATGTTTTCATAGAGATTTCACAGCTTGTACAAAGTGCGCTTGATGGGTACAAGGTGATATCTGCTTTGCCTCCTTTTAGTTCATTATGTGTAGGCAGAACCTAGTACATATAAAATAGGTATAAAAGAAAGAATGACAACTTTATAATATCGCAAGATGGAAGAATGCTTGCTATTGGCTTTGGGGATTTTTTGAAATGCAAAATTTCGTGGTTGCACTTTTACTTCTATTTCGGTTTATTCTTAGGGTTTTTTTAATGGTTGTTGTTATTTGAAGTAAATTGTGTTTGATTATTGTTTTTGGACTTCGTTGTCGTAATTGATTTTCGATTGCTTTGGTTGCTGTTACCTTTCCTCTGTGGTCTGCTGGTCTACATCTCAGTTTTTGTAGTTTGTTGATTCTGGCAGCTCTGGCAGTATATTTCAAACTACGCTCAAAGCTATTTGTACTTGAAAATTAACTTGTATATTTGTTATTTAATATGAACTGTCGCACGGTGTTTTGGTCACATGGACTGTTGTCTGGCTACATCTGAGTAGTACCTTGTGTTTGGTGTTTTTGTGTTTCTGTAGCTTAGGGTTTGTCTCTTGAAAAAGTCTTTTTTTCTTCATGAAATGCACCACAGAAATGGAAGGCATTATGCCATTATGGACAATTCTTTCTGGGGCCTTTTCTTTTGTACTTTCTCTTTTTTATTTGTGTTGTTTTGGCTATTACAAGATAAACTATGCCTTGGCTGACAAAGGGCATATCGTTTGTTATGCTAGGTCTGTATTTTTGCTTATGGACAGACTGGTTCAGGCAAAACCTATACAATGATGGGTAGGCCTGATGCCCCAGAGTTAAAGGGGTTGATACCACGATCTCTAGAACTGATATTCCAGATTAGTCAGTCCCTGAAAGATCAGGGTTGGAAGTACAAAATGCAGGTTAATATACTTATCCTTATTTTCATGAGATTAAATATACGTGGAAACTTTGACAAATTTTGTAAAATATTTGCAGGCTTCAATACTGGAAATATATAATGAGACAATCAGGGATTTGTTATCATCAAATCGGTCAAGTGGTATTGACCTAACACGAACAGAAAACGGTGTTCCGGGAAAGCAGTACGCCATTAAACATGATGTCAATGGAAACACTTATGTTTCAGACCTCACTATTGTAGATGTATGTAGTGTAAATGAGATTTCCTCCCTTCTGCAACAGGCTGCACAAAGCAGGTGAAGTTATGCGTGAAACCTGCAAATGTTTTTTTTTTTTTGTTGCGTTATGAAGTTATGCTTGAATGAACTTTTGGGACATATGGGTGCAAGAGTGCAAGAACTCATGTGCCTTCCATATGAATTTTGGATGACCAATATTTTTCATTTTCAACTAATCCATTATTGAAGCTGTCAAGTTTCTTGATACTTTAAATTATTTTTAGAATAAATTTTAGTATGTTTTACTCAGAAGATTTAACTCTTAATATATAAAATACCCCTTGTGTTTTTCCAGGTCTGTAGGAAAAACACATATGAATGAACAATCATCACGAAGTCACTTTGTCTTTACGTTGCGTATATGCGGGATTAATGAGGTACTGACTTTCTGACACATTGGTATATTTTTTGTGCATTTATTTTGATCCTGTTTCCTCATGTACCTTTTCTCTCGTTGAAGAACACTGAACAACAAGTGCAAGGTGTGTTAAACCTGATTGATTTGGCTGGAAGTGAAAGACTGTCGAGAAGTGGGGCGACTGGGGACCGGTTAAAGGAAACTCAGGTGTCTGTTTTCGTTGCTATGAACTTGAGCTCTATGTCAATTACTTTATCTTCATTAATAAACAAGTAATAAATTTGCTATATATATGTATGTCAGGCTATCAACAAAAGTCTCTCGTCATTGAGTGATGTTATATTTGCTTTGGCAAAGAAAGAGGAGCATGTCCCCTTTAGGAATTCAAAACTGACATACCTTCTCCAAGTATGTTTCTATGAAATTTTGTATTCCTCAGTATTATTTTCTTTTCTTTTATTTTCATTAATTGTTCATAAGGAAGATGGATGACGTGTCTATTGAACCTAAGGCTGCAATTTGCTGACTGTGTTGGATGAATTCATTAGGTTAATCTTGTAATTTAAATTAAAAGAATGAAAAAAATCCACTCCGAGAGTAGTTTGATACTACTGACACATCACACATGGATGTCACTCAAATGACTGTCTTTACAATGAGTCCAATATAGTAAAGGGATTTCTTAATATGATGATCTGCATGGTTCTAGTGACTTGATTTCTATCAATTTGAAGGCATTAAAGAGATGGAGGACTGTTTAAAAAAGTTGGCTCAAGTATTTTGACATGTTGAACGTAAAACAACATGCTACAGAAAATCTGTGGATTATATTATCATCTCCCATATTAAGATGGTCAAAAATTTCATTTAGGAATCGTTTTGTCCGCCAGAACTTCAGTATAAAACTAATTTGGAGGTACTCTCTATACTGGATACTGTTGTTCCAATTTCAGGGAGTGACGAAGATTGTTTTAAGGATGATAATGTTCTGCTAAACTTCGTTTTTTTTTTTTTCCAATGGCTTTTATAAGATTATATTCTTTTATCACATAAGCATCTCGGTATACATTTTGCTTGACATATACGTAGGTACATACCCAATTCATAATTTGATTCTGTTCTATGCATTACAGCCATGTCTTGGAGGGGATTCGAAAACTTTAATGTTTGTGAATATCTCCCCTGATCCAGTATCAACTGGAGAGTCACTTTGCTCCCTTCGTTTTGCCGCCAGAGTCAACGCCTGCGAAATTGGTATTCCGCGGCGTCAGACATCCACACGGTCCTTTGATTCTCGTTTGAGTTGTGGATAAAAGAAGTGTTAATTTGTTCTTTGATAAATGTAACTGTCTTAACTTGTAGACAATTGGGCTTGTATTGCTTGGTTGTAACTGTAAGGAGGCTTGGCTTTAGCCTCTCTGGTATTACTGATGATTTGTATCATTTAGCTGCGACATTATAATATTTGATTTATTTTAGGAGTATATTAATTCTAATTTCTGTGTATGACTTCACTATTGATTAATACTTCCAACTTCATGACGTGGACGGCACGTTTATTTTGGGGTCTTCAACAGCACTTAACGAACATGGTTCTGGTTCATAGAAAATGTTATTGATTCGAGGGATAGGTTATTATGTTTAATTTTTTTTTTTACTTTATTTACTCATCTTTAACATTATTGGATTATAATTTTTAGAGAAGAGAGAAATAATAAAAGTTAGTTGAAATTTTGATTTAACATACAAAAATGAGTAAGTAGGTAAGATAAATTTAAAAAAATGTAAGTAGAATATTTTATCCTTAATTCAATCAGCACTAACAGTATTTGCATTAGGGTGTTAATTTGTGAGCAGATGACAGGTGTAGAGAAAATAATCCATTGAAAAATTATATATAAATTTGCTTAGGATTATAAATCTTCCTTAAATTCGATCAATTTTTATAAAATTGAGAATAGACTTTAGAGAAACATTCGTAAAAAATGAAGATTTATCAAGTGAAAATAAATTTGGCCAAAAAAAATGTATATATGACTTGTCTAAGACATTAATTACACTTGAAGAGACTTTATTTCAATAAGGTTATTTAAGTAAATTTATTTTAAAATAAATAAACGAATAAACGAATAAATAAATGAATATATGTTTATCTATATTTCTCACCATTTTTGGCTTGCCATTCTTACCACCTGTTTAGTTATTGTGTGATCAATTTGAGGTCAACGACATTTATTATTTATTTGTTCGATTATTGATCCCATTAATTCATCGATAACCAGTGGTAAGTATAAAATTTTCTATTTATTTATTCTTTAATTTTAATAAGTTAATGTTTTAAATTTCAATTTTAACGAAAAATAAATATAGTATTAAGCATTTATTTTAAAACAAGTTTATTAATAAAAAAAGTCCCTTTTATATAATAATAAGGGTGATTATACTTACTATCATTTTAACTTACCACTTTTACACCTACTTGGTTACAATTGGAACAATTTGAAATCAACAGTTGAAAAAGAGAAAAAACTAACGAATTGATTCAACTAATCAAGTAGAATGTAAAAGTAATAAGGCTAAAATTGTAGCAAATATAATTTTTCCTTAATAATAATGAAAAAAGTGTTTGTCATTTTACATAATATAATTTTGTATTATTTTAAGTGAAACTTGCATTTTGGTGCATATTAATTTGATAATGGAGAAGGTTATATTTACTATCATTTTAGTCTTACTACCTAATTGGTTATCAACGACTCATTTTTTAACCGTTGATTTTAAATTGATGAAACGGTAACCAATTAAGTAATAAGAATAGTAAACTTAAAATGATAATAAGTATAACTGTCTCCTTTGATAATTTTTATATTCTCCTTTCATAAAATTAGGATGAGAGAAAAAAAAAATCTCGTGGAGAAGAAAGAAAATAAAAAAATACCAAAATATAGTTATTTTGCTTAGAATGACAAACATTTTTTCATTAATTAATGAGATTAATGTTCCTCATATTGTAAGTGATTATTTTATCTTCTATACCACATAAAAATATATGGGACCCTTATGGGTTCATGTGAAAAGAAGATAGAGAATAATAAAAGAGGAGGGATATTCTCACTACCAAAACTTTCCACTATCAACTTACTACCTGTCTAATCACCATTAGATTAATATTTTCTCTCTCTTCAAAAACTTTTTAACATTCTCTCTCTTTGATCCAATGGTGATGTGATGGGTAGTAAGCTAGTAGTAAGAATTTTTGGTAGTTAGAATATCTTCACTCATAATAAAATATGAATCTCACATATTTTTATGTGCATGTAATATATAAAATTATTGGAAAAAATGTTTATCCTTTTAAATGACATAACTTACCTCCTTTCACTCTCACAAAGAGGTGAGACCCATACCTTTATTTTTTTGTCAACTCTCTCTTCTCCTTTATCTATCTCTTTCTCTCTTTTAAAATGTCACAACTTTACATCTTTTAAAATGACACACACTTTACCCAAAATTATTTCATACAATAAGAAAAATATTAATCCCATAATTTTATTTATTACATGCACATAAAATTAGTGAGATCCATAATTTCTTGTTTTCTTTATTCTTTTTATATGAGTCCACAAGGGCCTCATATAACAAAAAAACATTAATCTCATTAAGGGAAAATATTTTTTCTTTTTTCCTGCTTTTGGTTATTCAATTTTGTACAATATATTCTACTATTTTTTTTTTAAGATGTAAAACTCACATAAAATATGTTTATAGCATGATTAAAATCCAATTAATATATAGATAGTGACGAGCAAAAATAAACAATGGATCAAAGTATTATCCATATGCCATAGGGAACACGAGTATCCTGATCCTGATTATTCAGAAGATGTGTCGGATATTATGCTTGCAGTCACTTTCTATTTTGTGAGGACGTGAGGAATATTTTTTTTATTTCCCTGAGTACGCAGAATTGACCTTCTCTGTAGGCGCCCATTGGATCAAGGGTAGGAGTAGGACGTGACAGTTGATTTATCTGTTTGAAATCTTATTAATTGACTTAAATCATTTTCTTTTATCTTTTTGGAATTGAAAGCTTATTAATTGATTTAAATCTTTATCTTTTTTATCCGTTTGAATGTTTCTGTACTAAAATATTATCATATCATTGTTTACTTTGTAACTCTACTTTGAATGCTTATCCTTATCAAAACTCAGTTACTTATTAATATTATACAGTAAAAAAGTTGCGATTAGGGCAAAGTCGATTTTTGAAATGTAACAAATCTTAGACCAGCATAACTTAAGTTTTATTTTTTTACGAAAATAATAATACTTGCTATTTGATAACATTTTAATCGTGCACTAACTTTTTTCTTTCCCGCAAAGTTTCTTGTTTTTAGTTTGATTTTTGGGTTTTATTAATGTTATGTAACATAATTTAAGTGTTGTTTTCAACACACACAATAAAAGGGAGAGAGAAAGTGGAATGATGAAAGAGAAAGAAAAACATGTGGATTCCACCTCTTTAATGTGTGTGTAGGAAAATGAGGTTATATTATGTTATATGATAAACATAAAACCCTTGATTTTTTTCTTCTTAAAGTAATCAGTTTGTCTATTTCAATTAATGTACGATTTTTTGTCTTTCAATAATCCCCCCCCCCCTTTCTCCCTTTCTCAAATTTCATCTCTCAATTTTTTAATTGCTACAATCAAGTTTTTTCATTAAAAATCAAAGAAGTTTAAATTTTTCTTTCTTCAGAATATTAAGCACATTTTTTATAAAAGTCCTAAATTTTCATCAAATTCTCTACTAAATTTTAAATCATTTACTATTTTAAATTTTTCGTAAATGCTCAGTTATTTTTAAATAAAACATAAAAAGTTAAGAATTTTGTCCTTTTTGGCAAAAATAATAAATATGAAGACTTTATCATAACAATTAAAAAAGAATCTATTTGATTACAAAAAAAAATGTATTTAATGATTATTACTTTTGTTCTGTGGTAGAAGAATAAAATTATAATTTTTGTTAAAGAATAATATAAACCATTCAAAATACATTGAATAATATATTAAACTTTTGAATTAAATTAATTTTTGATAATAACAGAGTTTCAATTGCAGTAAGATCACAAGTATAATTGTTTCCGTTCTACTTTCTAATACAATTAAATAAAATATAACGTATGTATATAAAAAAAAAGTAAAGCATAAGGTAAATAAGAAATAAGGTCTATATATATCCAGTTTGAATTCAAAAAATCCACGTGAAGATAACTCATATGGATAAAATCATAATATAAATCATATGGATAAAGTTGACCTTCTGGTTACATCAATTATTTTCACGTTGCAAAACAAGTTGCGTGAAAAGTAGTGAGTGGATTGTCCTAATCCATTGAAGATAAATTGGCTGTCATCAAAATCAGCGTTATTTATTCAATTGAACACCGTCTTTAGCTGAAGCGAAGAACCGCTAAAATATCTTTTCATTAAGTAAACGAGTTGAAGGAAGGAGAGAATGGAAGGCACAGAGCAGAACAAGTCGAGGGTGGTGGTGATTGATTCTTTGCAATCATGGCAATTCTATCTCTCCCAGGCCTGTAACCAGAAATGCCCTGTAAGTCAACCCCTTTATGTCAAAGATTGAATTTTTGTGGTGCTTTATCTCTTAATTCTTTCTTAAACCTGTTCTGAAAATGAGCCTGCAAATGGGTATTTTACCTTCAAGTTGTTTTCAAACCCCACCTTGAAATTTTTAATTTTTTTGGTTTTCTATGTTTGCTTCAATTTGGGTTGCTGGTTGTCTTGTTCTTCCTTGTGGATAGAATACTAGATATAGATTTACAGCTTTTGTATTTTATGGGATGGATCATAGATTGTTGTTCACTTCACTGCTTCATGGTGCATGCCATCGGTGGCTATGGCTCCTTTTTTTGAAGAATTGGCTTCAAGCTATGCAGATGTAGTGTTTCTCACTGTTGATGTTGATGAAGTCAAGGTAATATGTTTTTTCCCTCTCTTTTAATCCTTGTGCTTGTGTTCTCAGGTGGTTCTCCTTATAAATACTTCTATATGCACATTTTGGTAAATGCATACACACCTGCTGACTATATATTTAATCAGAAATAATATTTTTCTGTATTTAATCAGAAATAAAGTTATCTGCATTTACTCCCAAAATAACGTTATTTTAGGATTAAAAAATTAAAGAATTAGGATTATAAAGATCATAATAATCCTGAAATAAATTAAAATTACAAAAATAATATGATTCTCGTCTCACAAGATGACGTTGTATTGGACTTATAATTTATTTGCGGTAATCGCAGAAAAAACGAACCCATATTTCTCTTTCTTGTGAGTCCCCTTTCTGCCTCTCTGTGAATGTGCGAGATGTGGGATGAATTGTCTTTTGAGATTGCTCTTGATTCCAGATTTCTTTTGATTTCAGCATGAATTGTTGTATTTATGAGCATTCCTCCTCAACCACACACACCAAAGAGCTGCAAAAGTTGTACACTGGCATATCATCTTATTCTCCTTGTTTATGTCTAACCCTTTCTATCATTCCATGGATGAACTCATGAACCATAAATATTGCTCTAGTGTAGAGGGACACACCCAGTGCACTCCAAAAATTCTTAAATGCTCCAAAGGAAAGTGGACATCTTATATGCAAGAATAAGTGTTCCACTGTCTCTGAGCTAGATTTCCACATAACTAATTGTCCCATTAAATTGTTACATATTACTAACTTGCTAGTCTAATATCAAGAAAAAAAAAATAGGCTGGTGCGTATGGTAATATAATGTGCATTTCACTTTTAATATATTATTCCATTGGTAATATATAAACTATTATATCCAATTAAGTCCTGTTTCCCATCAATATGTGTCCTTGAGCACTTATGCTTGGATTTCCATTAATAAAACTGTGTTCTTTTTCCCTGATATATTATAAACGGGCAATCATATGTATGAATTGGATAGTAAAGGAAGGAAGGTGTTCAAGGTTAGTAGAACTTATGACTGTGTTAAGAGTTTATTGAAAAAGTTTTGGAGATTATATTATGCTAGTGTATGGTTGTCTTGCCAAATGTTTACTGAATACTACACTAGTGTAGTCTAAAAAGTTTATCTAGTGCTATGTGGATTAGTAATATGGTTCAATTATTGCTTTTGTTATTGAGCAATATACAAACGTGACATGATTTTTGAGTGGATTTAGTGATCTTGATCTAGCATTTTTTATTCATGGATGAGATCAAAGGATAAAATCCTACCTGATCTGTTGTATTTATTTTTGTAATCCTTAAGATAATAGAGCAACTTTTACCCCTTGGACTTTGGAGCCCAGTTTCACAAACACCCCCCTCAACAAAGAACTACATAAATATAGATATTCTACTGATCAACATCTTAAATCCTTGTTTCCCATATTCATAAATGACTGATTGGATGGCGTACTTTACCTGCTATTATTTCATGCTTGAGAGGCATTGAAACAAGAAGTTAATTCTTGGGTGATTTTCTCAAATGGTTTGATATCGTTTGATGATAGCAATTAAATGTATTGGATTTTTTTCTGGGGTCAGGAGGTAGCCACACGGATGGATATAAAGGCAATGCCAACATTTTTGATGCTGAAGGATGGTACTCCACCAGAGAAAATCGTTGGTGCGAATCCAGAAGAGATAAAGAAAAGGGTAGATGGATTTGTTCAGTCTATTCCAGTCTCCGTAGTGTAGTTGAGCATATAGGATATTTTAGTGTTGCAAGTTGTATGATACATACTTGTGGTCCTACACTAATATGTTTACTGTCTATTGTTTTTATGTCAGCAGAAATTTGTATATATTTTATAGTTTTCGATTGTGGATTTATGGTACTCTTTCACTGGAAGTTGTAAATTAAAGGGCTGCGTCTTGTGGTCTCTGTATTGATGCTTTCGCTGGTGAAACAAAAATACAACTATATACTCAAATGCAGTCATGCCTTTATTTGAGTTTAATTGCTTTGGTGTATTTTTTTCTTTTTCTTTTCAGATCTCTATTAATAATTTGAGTGAGTGATAAAATCTCGCATCTTGTAAGCAAGGAATATATAAGTGAAAAAGACTTATAAATTCAATGTCATAAGATTTTAAATTAAGATGCAGTGTTAACTTTTAAGCCTATTTATTATGGTTTGTGGCTCTGCTCATGGAACGAGGTCTCCCACATAGTTAATAACTTTATATGATATTGATAACAAGGTTCTAGTGAGATGAAAGACTAGTATGCAATCAGAAACTGATCTAACAAAACTTGTATTAACAGGGTAGTTTGAACCCCATGTATTTCACCAATTTGTAGTCTCTCCAGACCTGTATTGCTCCAAAGCCAGTTATTTGAGCAGTACTTAAAGACATCACTATAATAACCATAGGCCCTTCCATACTTCTGAATTGCTCTCAGTACCACTGACAACCCCAGGAGTGATGCAACAAAACACATTCTGTTGCGGTCACAGCTGCATTTCAATTATCATAAGCTCTTTTCTTTTTCTTTTTTCTTTTAAAAAAAAAAATTGTGAGATACTCAAATTCGGGAGAATATGAAATCTGATTCTCATCGAGTGTGTTATTCAGTTTATAAACAATTATAAATAACAAGAGAAAATGATGAGTTGGCAAATTAACAGTTAACTGACTGTATAATGAGCTCTAACTGTTAACTAATTCTCTAACTATAGTTAATAACATAGCTGGTAATATTTATTTGGTGATAGGACTGTGATTATAGAGTACATTCTGTAGGCTCTTCCAATTCTTTTCCACTTTAGCAAAACATATCAGTACAAAAGTTTAGAAGCAACTTATTCAAACATCATTCGGCACTGTCATGGCTATAATAGATGATTGAACCTTTTTTTTTCTTTCATTTTTTTTCCCCTCCGCAAATTATGTTTCAAATTCCCACTCCTCTGATCTCCATTCCCAGAATCAGTCTTGATGACCCAAGGTGAGATATGTTAAAGTAAATGCTTAAAAGTCAGCAAGTGTATTTGCAACTGGCTGGTAAAGTATTAAAATTAAAAATACAGATATTAACTAAGAAGCCCAATCTTTTAATTAAAAGCATTGAAAACTCTTAAACCATTTCCTCCAGTCTAGTACATGCTCTCTGTTATTAATTTTTTAGATAAATGGATAGTAATTTATTATTTTATTTTTATTTAATAATCACTATTACATTTAGATAAATTCTGTCAAAATTAAAACTGTTTTTTTTTAATAGTTTTATAACACCACTCTTTGTAAAATGAGGGATATTATTATTTGTTTTAAGAAAAAGAGAGTATGGGAGGGGGCTGAACCTTTAGCCATCACTGTTTCCCCGCACTCCGGATTAGTCCCATAGCCGGCTCAAAGAGTCGAAGCTCGTGGGGATACCGGAGGGAGCCAACTCGTCTCAAAGAGATAATTAGGGTTGGGTAACTCCAAAAAAAGAAAAAAGAAAAGAAAAAGAGAGTATGAGAAATAATGATTACATTTTACACGCTAAAATTATGTAGATGCTGTATTTCAAAATTATTAACGTGTTGGTTTTATCTTTTAAATAGCCTTGTACAACTTCTCATTATTAGGTTTATAAAAAAAAAAAAAACACTGATTATTAATATAAAACAATTCATTCAGACGGAAAGCTTAAGTTGGTAATTTATATAGGGGGTATGCAGCTGCAAAAAATAAAATAAAATGAAATCTCCTATGACAGATCTTGAAATGGAGTCCATTATTTAATTAAAAAAAAAAACAAAAAAATGAAAAGCATGGCTCCCCCCCTCGAGTCTGCTGCAAAAATTTTAATTGTTGAATCTCTAAATTTAAATCCCAACTTATAATCACATTAATAATTTTATATAATTATCTTTAACATTCCTTCGCATGCCCTTGGCCTGACGCATTAAACTGTCTATTTTTTGTTTTGTTTAACTTAGTGCATACTTTAACTTTGAAAACGAGGACGATGACGTTCAAATTTGTGACCATTTAATTACATGATCTAGTATGATGTAAAACAACTAATCCTTCCTAAAAGTTTAATCCATATAATTATAGGCTTTAATGTTTTTAAGGTAAATATAGATAAGTTATTTACGTTTGCTAAAACAACGTCGTTTTAGATTAAAAAATTATAATGAAAAAGACTATTATAATCATAAAATAAATTATAATTACAAAAATACCTTGATTTTCGACTCAAAACAAAATCATTTGGGATTCAACATTGAATATAAAAATAAACAAACCTATAATTATAACCCCAGTAATGTCTCTAACAACTGACCAAGTTAACCCACACCTTGCCTAAATGAGTACATTACGCTGAAAAGTAAAAACATATTTTTGATCATGTTATTATTACGAGGCGTTATTCTTACGATTTAAAAGTTTTACAATTTTTTATAATTTATTTTTTAATGTTAATTTTTATGAATCTAATGATTATAATTTATTAAAAATTAATAATAAATATGATCTGATAAATCATAACTATTGGATTGACGAAATTTAATAGTAAAAAAATAGATTGTAAAAATAACATTAATCTATTATTATTATATTATGAAATTAATATTTCTGATATTATAGAGATAATTTTATTTTCTATTTACACGTGAAAGTGTGAGAGACCGATGTCAAACCATATGAAAATAAGAGAGAAAAAAAATAATTTCATACATTTTTATATATGTCACATGATATTTATCTCCTCCAATAATCTCTATTATTATTATTGATACAGCTGATGCTGGCATATGATGTGATTATGCATGCAACATATTTATTTCATTCCAACGTACCTAGCTAGTAAGCTAGATAGCTGAACATATCTTAGCTAGTTCTCATACAAACCATTGTTGAAGCTCAATGGTACTTGGAAAGGACTAATATCGAAAGGTCTCTGACCAATAAAATTTCCTGGTGGATCATAGTTGCAGCTGATGATGGTGCTACGACCATCGTTGCACCGCACCTTGGCACAACCAAGACGAACCGAGTCACGCCAAACTACCTGTGTATAGTGCCTGCACTCCCCACCAACACACGAATTAGAGTTATAATCATAGTTTGGCTTCTCTGCCACCCACATGTTCACAGCAGCTATGCCTGTAAGGTCACCACTGCTCCACGCAAGGTTCTCACCATAAGGACCCCCTGAGTGCACCAAATTGCAGTTTCCCTTGAGTTTGTTCACATAGTTTTGTGCATATGAGGCAACGGTTGCATCCCATCTCATAGGCCCAACCCCAACTTGGGAACGGGCTACGTTATGAGTATTAAGGTAGTCTTGGGGTGAGTTTTGAGCATAAGAGATTTGTGATAATATGGCAAAGACAGAGATGAGACAAAGCATTGAGATCATGGGCACACCCATGTTGGATTAATTAGGGACTATATTATAGAAGAAGCCTATTTATAAGAGCTTTTTTCTGGGATAGTTTGGAGGAGAGGACACTGACATTTTTCTAATGTTCATTTAACTAATGCGGTGGCTAAAGAAGGAAATGGCTAGAGGCTGCAAAGGGTATTAGACTTGAGATTATCCCCTTCTTTTTGAAATAAGAAAAATCAATTCTTGGTGGGACAGAGGCGGCTTTCATTATTAGAGGAAAAAAAAGGTTTACCCTTGTTGTTATCTACCTTTAGTTTTTATCAAGTTGATCACATTGTTCATTTTCAAGAAAGGGAATGTCCAATTCGACCCTTGTTAATAATGGATAATGTCTATTCTGAGTGAACTACTGGGACTAATTAAGCACATTATCACGTATTGTGATATATTGTTGTAATATATTAACTGTTATAATTCCAAAATTAATAACGAAAATTCAAACAAAAAGTCTACATGCATTAACATGTTATTTCAGACTAAATTATTATGGAAGTGGAAAGCCTTTCTACCAAGAAGGCTCTTTCAAGTCGTCTATCATAATTTTTCATCTTACATCGAGGTTAGTAAATATCATTCTTTCTTCCTTTTGTTCATATTTTGTGATTGTATTCTGGAAAAAGAAAATGATTTATAGCTTGGATTTGTTTTAGTATTTAAGATTTTTGTAACAGGATAAACTTGGAATATACTTCACAGGAGAGACACACATGTTGCTAATGGGCATTTAACTAATGCGGCGGTTGAAGAAACATAAGGCTAGAGGCTGCAAATTAACCTTTTTTTCAAAATAAGAAAAACCAATTCTTGGTGGGACAGAGGCAACAAGTGCCATCAGCTTTCATTATAAAGTAGAAAAATAAGGGGTTTGGCATTTTTGTTATCTAACATTAGTTTTTATCAAGTGGATAACATTGTTCATTTTCAAGAAAGGGATGTCCAACTCGACCTATATATGTTAATAATGATAAAGGGGGTTATTAGTCCGCATCAATGATGAAGATGCCTAGCAAGTAACAAAAGTCTGAATGATGAATGATGAAGAGATTGCAACTACTTCAAAATAAATTAAACAACTAACAAGCGGGAGAGAGAGAGAGGTTTTAATAAAATTTTTTAATACAATTAGTATGTGAGTATGCCCACGATGACTTTGATCTCTTTTGATTTAATCTGTCATCTGTTAGCTATAAATTATGCTTATTTTAATGGCTTTATTTTTACAATATTTGAGTTGAAGACTAGTTATAAGTGCAGGGTAATGGGTCAAATGAATATCAATCAGCCTAGTAAGGTAAAAAAAGAAGAAGAGATAATTTGATGATTTACTATCTTTTTTTACCATTTTTACTGCATTTAGAGAGCCATATGAGTTACTTTTTGGAAGTGAAGAAAAAAAGAACTGGACCGTTGGATGAGGACAGACATGGATGGACAGCAATGAATCTTTGGATCTCTGGTTATTTTTAGTTAAGTAGAGGAATTAGACTTAGGAGTTTTCAGATTTTCAGTTTTAGTTTTTCTTAATAGTGGTATTTTTCTTTTTGAACTTTCTTGAAACTTTGTAAGCTGGGTGTGAAAGTTCCAAGTTCTTGAAATTGAAGGGCACTGACAACACATCTTCTTGGAAGAGATCAAGGATCTGCATGCGACCTATGCTTCTCTCCAATTCTGCAAGTTCTTCCTATCTTTATTAGGAATTCTAATACTTGAAATACTGGTCTGTATTGAACTCTGTTTTTAATTCCTTTTTCATATTCGGTAATGCATGTTACTTCAATTTTAGAATCTTTAATTTTGTTCTTTGAAATGGCTAGCTAACTTTCCTCTTTTCTGGGATTCAAGATGATTGGGTGATTCTTTATTTTTATGAACACTGTAATGTTTCTTTTAGTCTCATTTTATTAACAAGATTCTGATTTAAAAGTTCAAGAAAACCATGGGAATGGTCTTGAAATATTTTTAGCATAACTGTGATTGGGAAATCAGGTTATGTTCTTTTGTTAATTAAACCCTTGAGGTTAGGGATAACCCAAGGAGGTTTTTGAAATAATTCTTGAAGATTCAGAAGACTTTGGAAAAAGACCTTACGAGGAACAAATCTGGAACTGGGAAGTTGTAGCTAAAATAGCCATAGTAGTTCAAATTATGTGATTAAAGTGCCTTAGTAGTGAAAAAACGCAGGAATGCAAATTGCTTTAGGAAAGTCCATGAATTGAGAATTCTAGAATCTTTTCATTGTTTATATTTTGTACTTAACCATTTTAGTTCCATTTGTTAATTCAGTTTTAATTACAAAATCAATTTCATTTAATTTTTTTTTTTTTTTGATAACAATTTCATTTAATTTTTTAGTTTAAAAGTGAGATTATTACAATAAAATAATTAAGGAATAGAACCAAGAAAAGAAATTAAAATCAACCGTTACCTGAGAACCGATCCATACTACCCAACAATGATCATATTACCTACATGTGATTTTAGTATATATCACTTTCTTTAACCCGAATGACACATTTCAGTTTAATTAAAAAGTAGAAAGGTGATACGGGTCAAATTATACATTCAGGCCCGTGTTTGTGTATAGCATATACAAGAGTCAGATGGGTATTGTTGAAATTCGATTCACAAACCAACAACATTTGATTGGAATTAACGGAATTTAGGGCAAGGACAGGACAACAAATATACTTCCATATGTGTTTGTTTGGATCCATCAAGTGACTATTTCAGGGTGAATAAAGGATGGACTAGCACTTTGAAAGAGCTAGCAAAGGTTGATTCCTGCGTGGTTGGTCAAGTCCATACATAAGCAGGAAATTCTCCAGGTTTCCAATTGAGTTCATAAGTAAATTATAATTATCATTATTTTTCGCATATATTTTTTGTAATTTAATTAATTAACTGATGGTGGAATGACCTTGGACTTGCCAAGGAGTCAAAGTCTGTTAGGGATGAACCTCTTCAATGGTACATGTGGTCAATGGCATGCCTAACCGAGCCACAGTTTTCAGAAAAAAAGGATTGAGCTCACAGAACCCTTGTCCCTAGTATAGATAATTGATGACGTTTTCGACGTTTGTGGACCGATTGACAAGCTTACTCTGTTTACAGATGCTGTCAATAAGTACTAAAATATGTAAACATTACTAAGGTGAAAAGAAAAATGTTCATACTAATCTATTTACCTAATGAAAGAAAACAAATATTTGAGTACAAATGGCAATTGGAAGCCAAAGAGCAGCTACCATTCCACTCGAAGATATGGTTCAAAGCTCTGTATGACAATACAAATGAATTCGCCTACAAGGTCTACATAAAGCATGGACGGAACCCTATCAACAGCCTACACAAATTGGAAAGGAAACAAAACAAAACCCTACACAAAATATTGGGTTTCATGTACTTCATGGCTGTGCATTTGGCACTTCGCTGCTTGTTGCAGTGACCGCTAGACTCTAATGCTTTCTTGGTAAAAGCACAACGGCTTTCTTCCTGTCACTTGCCAAAGGCAGAGGAGAACCTTAAGAATGGGCTTGCCACTACACGGGTACAAGTGGTGCTACGGCAAACATTCTGTCTCCTAGATCAAGGCATAACCAAAGAAACTGCCGTGCTTTTGGGTAAAACATAGATTATGAATTTGGAAGTCTACTGGAAGGGATAACTTATTCAACAGGCACGTGTATAAGGTTCAAAATTCCTAGCCCACGGAAGCAAAAACAAAATTCAATATTAGCGCTTGATCAGTGAGGTTTTGGTTTGTCTTCTGACCATTATTTATCCCCTTCACCAGCGGAAGTTCTAACTTGACCCCAAGTACGACACAACTCATTTCAATTAACGCATTAATTTGATAATCGGTGAAATCAACAGCTACAAAAATGGATGCAAGGTCTACCACATGTTTAGGGGCAAATCTATTTCCAGTTTCTTCTTCCTTGCAAGATCGACAAGTGTTTTAGCTTCTCCAATCATTCCCTGGGAAAAAAGCCTCTCCACGACACCCTTCAATACTCCCACATCAATAAGCAACCTTCCATTGGTTGCCAATGCAACTTTGCAGATTTGAAAAGCCATATCAAAATCACCCTTCTCAGAGAGAAAGGGAACAAGAGTTCCATAAGTAGTACGATTTGCAGTGCCTACACATTTCACCAACTCATCATACCAGTGCTTAGCTTCTTCCAGTTTGCCATCATTACAGAAACCCTTAATCAAGACATTGAAACAATGCACATCAGGTTGAACCCCCTTCAATCTCATTTCATCAACTAGCTCAACCGCTTCCATTACTTGGCCACCAAGAATCATCCCCTTCAACCTCAACTTATAACTCACAACATCAGGATCAACACCATCCCGGGTTTGCATCAGTGCCCAAATCTTTTCACCTTCTTCATACCCACGCTTCTCATAAAACACACAAAGAAGAGTATGGAACGTAATTAGATTAGGCTCCATTCCTAACTCCTCCATCTCGCGAAGCATTCCAAGAGCCAAATCAGTGGAACCCATCTCACAAAACGCATAAATACCGACATTATAGGAGACAACATCAAGCTGTATGGAGTACTTGGAAGGAAATTGGCGGAAAAGCTCTTCAACGACGTCGTACCTCTTGGCGGAGACGGCAGCACGGAGGAGGGCAGAGAAGGACTTGACAGTGCGGTGGCAATAAAAGGTTGGCATTTCGTCGAACAGCGTGAGTGCATGGTCGAACATGCCAGCTTTACCATAGAGAGAGATGAGGCGAATGACGAAGCCTTCGGAGGAGATCTGCTTGTAGTTCTTTTGGGCCTCGAGGATCTCTTCGATCATTGGGAAGGCCTTCACCTTCGCCAGACGCAACACGGTGGACTTGTAGATATCGCTCCTCAGTCGAAACTGCTTGTTCTTGCATGACTTCTTGAACATGTCGACCACGTTTCGCAGCCCTTGAGGTGTCTCGTAATCATGTTTATTGGTGTGAACACGTGTTACGGCCACAGGGTTGAGGACGGTGGTGGTGGTTGTTTCGGTGTTGATGGATGGCTTAGCGGTGAAGATTCGAAGCAGACGATTGGCACTCGCACAAGACATAGCTCGGGAGAAATGAAGGAAAGAGCTTTAAGTGGAGGTAGGGAGAGTTTAAGAATTTGGAATTATGAGACAAACGCTACTACGCTACCCAAACACAACCAGGATTTATTGATGTTGAAATACTTCGTACACGAAACATACGACAAAGTGAGCGAAACCTACTTATTTTTTTTCTCAATTTTTTAATGAGTTTCATAAAAAAAAATTTATGCATTATACATGATTTGCTTATTTGATGTTTTTGCATTACAATTATTTATGGGCAATGCTTAATATTGTCTTATATAGAGACATAATTAAATAGATCCTATAATAATAAAAAAAAATATTGACTCGAGTTTCGATGTGTGTGTAATATGAGATAAGATTTTTCACGTAACATAAAAAAAATATTTTCCATTATTTATATAAGCATGCTAAGTTGGTAAAATATTCCCAACATTCAACAATGATAAAAATCAAAGTACACATGTAATATTTTTTCTTTTTTCATATTTTTTTTTCCGGTGAAGGTAAGATTCAATTACTTTCATATAAAAATAAAAGTACACATGTAATACCAAAAGTATACCATTCTTTTGGTATTCCACTCCGATCCTTACAATGAGTTGATCTCTCCATTCAGATGGATACTGGCTGTCACGGAGCAACTTCCAGATTTCATGAAAATTTGTTTCATTGCTCTTGGTGTGTCGGTAGGTGCTCCGGGTGTAAATAGCCAAATCGAATACATTTGTGTGTGTGTGACGGGTCTAAATTGGTTAGGTTAGGTTATACTTTGACTTTTACATTTGTATAAAAAATATTCGGTCTGATTTGGCATATAAGTCTGTGTAGGCTTCAAATTACAAGTCTGATATGACTTATATTTAAAAAATAAAAATGTTGGCATAGACTTGTTATTCTGTTTAAGTCTATTAAACATTCAACAATTAAAAGAATAACTAAAATGATATTATTTTATTATTCAAAATTATTAAAATATTAATTTTATTTAAAATAAATAATATGATATGGGTCGGCCTGTAGACTTATAGGGCCGACATATACAAAAAAAGTCTAAGGCCTATTTTTCAAATAGATTTTTTTAAAAGCCCAGAACTATTCTATTTTATTATTTATACTAGGTCAAATCTAACCTAATATAGATTAGGCCATAGACCCCTATAAGCCGGCGTAATTCATTTACGTCCATATACTTGGACAATATGAAAGGCCCTCAAAATGAATAAATCTTTGGTGTTCAGTACATTTCACTAATAAGAGCATTACATGTGAGTTAAAATTCTCTTTTTATGCCAAACTTTTTCTCTCTCGTACGATGTGTAATGCGTTGTTGAAATACAACGAATCTAGGTGCAACAAAGATTTATTCCCTCAAAACATACATGAATGTACTTGTACTTTTTTTCTCGCTTCATTGTCTCTCTGACATGATGGCTTTGTCAGAAGCACTCATATATAGCCACCCGACCAATTAAGTCGTCAGTTTACAAAGCCTTGAAAGACATTTCTTCAATACCTGTTTAGACCAATTTTTCCAGAAATGGAGTATGAAGATGAAGATTGGCTGTGTGTTTCTCTGGAAGACTTTTCTCTTGCTACTGAAAATGGTAGTAACAAGGGAAGGATGAGTAGGAAGAGGAACTATGATGATGACACAAGAGAGTACAAATCCAAGAACCTTGAAACTGAAAGGAGGAGGAGGGAAAAACTCAGTAGCAAGCTCTTGATGTTGCGGTCTTTAGTACCTATCATCACAAATGTAACCAACCACCTAAGCCCTCACTTTCTTATTTGATCCTTCTTTATCTCATTGTTTATTCAGTATTATGTTTCATATATTTGTTTAACAATTGCACATTAAACATTGTAATTTAAACTGATTATAAAGTCAATTTTTGATTTCAGATGAACAAAGCCACCATTATTGAAGATGCTATCACCTACATCAAGAAGCTGCAAGATGAAGTGCAGAGTCTCCGCCAAGAGCTTCTCCAAATGGAAGCAACTTCAGAGGAAACAAGCGAGACAAGGATTGATGAAACTAATGCTGCAGAGGTTATGAAGAATTGGGGGATACAGGTCATCTACAAGATCCTTTCTTTAATTGATTAAATGAATATTTTCTGTAAATGTAATTATTTAATAATGTTGCAGGCAGAGGTTAAGGTGACACAAATCGATGGGAATAAAAGATCATCATTGAGAAGAAGAGGGGAAGGTTCAAGAAACTGATGGAGGCCATGAATAATTTTGGCATTGAGCTCGCAGACACCAATCTTACAACAGCAAAAAGAGCATTTCTGATTACATGCTGCATACAGGTGACTAAAAGAAAGATGAGAATCAAGCTTACTTTTTACTACCTGTTACTACAATGTCATCATAGGGTACTAAAATAATGTTCACTTTAATTATTTTTTACTATGAGATTTTTCACGACTTGAAATTATGTTATTGTGCAGGGAAAGGATGGTGAAAGACTTACCGTTATCAAATCAAGAATTTGTTGGAAGGTATTATCAGTGGCATATAGAGAGCAAGTTGAAATGAACTTCTAGTTACTTTGTTGTTAGGTCATCTTCCACGAGGGGATAGTACTAGTTATTACTAATAGCATTTAAGAAAAAAGAAGATAGTTCTGTAATTAAAAAATAGAAAAAACTGTGCCTGTTAAGATTTTGGTTTCTGTTAGTGTTAGCTAATGCAGATTCAGTATACTATCATCTAAACACTAACAATCAGTACTTTTTTTTTCCCGGCCTAAGTTATTACAAAATCTGTTCATCTTCTTGCATCCCATCAATTCCATCATTCAAACCCCTCCCCAAAAAAGAGAGACATATGTTAACATCAACCAAAACTGGACACTGATATTAATACCTGAAATATGTTAATTAGATAAGAGAAATGCTTTTTTAACTGCTCAAAAAGATCACACAAACCTAGATCAGTTTAAATTAAAACAGTATAGTAAACTTACTTCTAGGCATGGTGTCAGCTCATAATACTTTTGCAATGGAAATGAAAACCAATAACAAATTATATTTTTGGTTTGCAATAACTACCTAATTTATGTTTTATTTTACCTTCCATCTGTCTGAGGATTAAGCAAAGGTTACAAAGGTTGAATGACCTAAGAAATGAAGGTGATCCGAGTTAGTAGTGATTGTGCTGTTATTAGAGAGACAAGAGCCTGCGACTGCTTAAACCTTAAAATAAAAAGTAACAGCAGAACCAATGCTGTCTACTTGCCGCTCAAGTACAGAAGTCTGCACTGTACTTCAACAAAACTGAAGCTATGTACATAAGAATATGGCTCCAGAATATGAGTTCAACATGGTTGTCCAAAATCAAAGAAGAAAAGATGTCTCTTATCAAGGACCAGTACCAGTTAGAATTGAAATGGAGATAGGTTTCCAATGCTGATGAGGAGGAGAGAGAACTTTACTGAGTATTTGAATCAGACCAAACAAGTTAATATCACATTTCTTTCTCAGTCTTTAGAGAACACAACAAAAGCATATAAGAAAGAAATTCACAGTAGACTGACATTACTGACCAGACTATCAAATAAATTAATCAAATTAGAACCACATTTTTTATTTTAGCTGTCTCATTTTGATTTATGATCCTTCTATCATGACCAGGTGAACATCACCTTAGTTTTCAATTTTAACTTGAAGCAACTAAAGTTTTTTCCTACTCAAAATTTGAGAGGTAAATTGGGTTTCAACAATCATCCAAATAGCAGTCAATGTTAGAAGATTCTCTGAATATTTTCAGTATAGGACATTTAATGATACATGAGATAGAACAAATAATAATAATAGTAAACCAAAAAAAAATAAAAAAATAATAGTTAGTCAAATGATTCAGTTGTCAGAAGCACATTTAATTTTGCTCTAATTGAATCGAATGTGCTTGACAGTATTTTATATGTTTGTAAAAGTGCATACAAATTCTTCACAGAATGGCACTTACATTTCAACAAATACATTCTATTTCGTTGCTATATGTTATCTGATCACTATCAGGACAAACCATAGATAGCTTCAGCCTTTCAGAATCAAACCAGGGTCTATAACCCTCCCACAGGGCTCTTATAGTCTTGTACCTATCAACCATCTTTGGTCGTTGCTCTAATGAAGGCTTAACACAGTCACATGCAACTTCGAGGAGACGTAGGATTTTATGATCAAAACCTTTCCCAATGATAGATTTGTCAACGGCATCATAAAAATCAATAGGATCAGTGAACAATTTATTGCTAATATAGTTCATCAAAGAGCCACCAACAGTGTCAGAAGAATCAGTAGCTGGACTTAATCTTTTCCCTGTTATAAGCTCAAAAAGGATTATTCCAAAGTCATATACATCCCTCTCAACAGAACCCTTCACTCCAAGTCCATCAATCATAAACAATTTCATCCTCACATGATCTTCAAACTTCTGGTTTACAAATTTTGCCTTCCCAAAATTGGAAATTTTAGGCTCGAAATTCTTGTCTAACAAGACACACTCTGAACCGAGATTTAGATGGACTATCTTGCACTTTTCATGGAGCCAACATAAACCTCTTGCTAGACCAAGTGCAATGTGAATCCTCTCAGGCCATCCCAATATCATAGTTTTATGTCCTTCATTAGGATGCAACCAATCATGGAGTCTTCCATTTAACATGTACTTATACACAAGAATCCTTGCGTTTTTTTCTATGCAGAATCCAACCAGTGGAGCTATGTTTCTGTGCCTGTGTCTCCCCGGAATCGTTGTTTCAAGCAAGAATTCCGTCTTGTACTTATCAGCATCATATAGTCTCTTAACCGCAAGGAAACAGTTATTTGGTACTTTTGCTTTGTACATAATCCCTGTTGTTCCTAGCCCCAGCATATTGTCTGTGTTAAAGTAATCTGTTGCTTTGCATAGTTCCATGAAGCTCATTCTTGGAATCAATCTCTCCAACAATCTTGAGAGCTGTAGATGGAATGTCACAACAAGTTAGACCATATGATAGACAGTAACGTGACCTTTTTCAATAGATTCAAACTGAGATTAGATTAGATTGTCCTAATATGAAAAGAGATGTGATATAAGTGTTCAAGGCCCAAAAAATAAAAATAAAGCTAAAGTAATGATTAATGACACAAGTATTGGAGCACAAATATCGCATGTTCACAACTGGAGAGAGAGAGAGAGAGAGAGAGAACCTCATTGATTCTTTGCTCTTGCAAAGCTTGTGGTAGCAACTCAGCTACTTGTCTAGTATCCTTCTGCTGCTTCTGCTTCTTTCTTAAGGGATATGTAGCGTTACTCCTCCTCTTTTTGAATTCTGTCCAAGGTGTGAAAGCTACTATGACAGAAATTGCTGAAGAAACAAAAGCAATAATAAAACTATACCAAAACGATCTATCAATTAATCTATCGTCACAGCTTCCAAGTATTCCCCCACAGAGTCCACTATTATTGACATAGCTCAAACTCACATCAACATTGCTAGCAAAAACAGGCACTGGCCCTGTTAACAAATTGTTAGCAACACTGAAAACTCTAATACTGGGAAGCATCCCAATTTTTTGTGGGATTTGACCAGTTAACTGGTTGCCATCAAGTCTAAGGTTATCTAAGTAAGAGAAATTGGCAATACCCTTTGGAATTTCACCATTGAAAATGTTATTTGAGAGATCAAGTGAGGTTAGATATGGCAGTTTACTTGATATATCAGATGGGATATATCCAGAAAGCTCGTTGTATGAAAGGTTCAGAGTCTGCAACCATGTGAAATTTTCTATGCAACGAGGAAATTGGCCCTCTAGCCCCATATTAGAAAGCAAGAGACTGATTATTCTACTATCTTCCATAGAATTCCAGCATTCAACACCAGTAAAACTACACATGTAACCTACAGTATTGTTGCTCTCGAAATCCCAGCTAGATAAATGATTAAATGGATCCAACGAATTCTTGATGGTTTGTAAACAATACAAGTTACTTTCAGCACCATAACCTGCCAAAAAGAGACAGAACAATGGCCAAAAGAAGATCTGAAGAACACTGAAATTCCTTGTGGTGGACTTCATTTTCACAGACATAAATGGGTAAGGCAAGCCTAGTGACAAGGTACAGATTGAAACAGGTTCATCTATAAATTTTCAATTTCTAAGGTAATTTGCCTCAACTAAAATCTCAAAGCTCAAAGAATTAACAGGTACAGAGAAGGTAAGAATCACTGGCAAGCTTATAAATGCTATGATGCATGCATGTTAGAAACTATGGAATGGAGGGAATGAATTGAATTGTTTACAAGGTGAGAAGTGTATTGCAATTTCTTAGGAAGTTGTTTTGTGTAGAGTGACAGCAAAGACTTCCAAAATCCAAATGCCTTGACTTGACTGTGTCACTGGTTTCATTTTTCGTTACTAAATAAACAAATTGGATCAAGACGCATAGCAATTTCGTAGAAGTTCATTTCTTTGAATTTTCACATAAGCATTATATATGACTAGAACGCATATTATAGATAATATATGATATCATGCATACTTTTTTTTTTTTTATACAGTAAGATCATAATCTCAAGAGAAGAAAAAAATACTAGTTAAAATTATGACCCAACAATATTGGAGAGAAATAAATAAAATAGAAATGAACTCATTTATTGATGGTTTTCCTTGCTAATCCATAAAATGCCGTATAAGACGAGGCAGCAAATCAAACGAGTTTTATACAAGTCATTCCTGTGTAATAAATAATACAAGGAATTTTTTTTTTTCTTTTATACATTTTAAACTTTTAAACTATTAATACGAGTTTTATACATTTTTATCTTTGATTCGTTTAAAATTTTAAACTATTAAGTTGAACTGTACAATATGTTGAACAGTGAACACCGACACTCTTGCGAATATTTCTCGTACGTAATATATTGAGGGCATTTTCTTGAAATGAAGAATTTGAATACAGAGCTAAGAATTGACTATTTCAAAAATATAAAAGTCTTTTACAATTTACACCCCAAAGAAGTCTTCTATTTGACTTTTGCTTCAAGGGGGATTGTCTGCATTTTTTATTTTTTATTTTTGCATTATAAAACACTAAAAATCTATAAGAATCATGAACCTAAACACTAAATCCTTAAGGAAATTCCCTTGGAACGGGCCTAACGAAGTAAACCAGTGCCAGGTCCACTAGATAAAGATCCATTCCCATTGCTGCTATAAGATCTGAAAGAAATACTAGAAGTAGCACCTATGAAAGTATTCTACTACAAATAGAACAATTGGGGGATGGGTTTTCACACAATCTTTCATGTAAAACTTTATCGGAGAAGGATATATTTATCATTAATTTTTTTTACTACTTTTACAACTAACTTAATTACCGTTGATTTCCGTTAATCTAACGATTATAATTTATTAGATTTATTATGCCGTATTTATTAATTCTCAATAAATTATAATCGTTAGATTGACAGAAATCAACGGTAATTAGGTTAATTATAAATGTGATAATTTTTTTTCGTGATAAGTATATTCTGTCCCATATTTATTAGAGAAATATAAAATTATCAATGTAATTTCATCCCAGTAACTTAAGTTTTTGGATTGAATTAGTTTTTTACGATTTTCATTTTCATTTCATAAACAAAAGCCAATGGTGTATTTGTACTTTTTAAAGTGTATTTACTAAGAGTAATTTTTTTGTCCTCGAATATGTAATAACGAGAGATATATCAAAGGAAAATAAATGAAACAGCACAAAAAATATTCAACATAAAAACATAATAAAAATCTAATAATAATAGAGATTTTTGGCTCGAGTGGTGATTAGGTCAGACCTTCCCCAAGTAAGAAATTCTCATATGCACTTTAAATAAGAAACAAATTTTTTTATATCTTACATATACACACATATATATATATATATATATATATATATATATATATATATATAAATGCACATAAGGTGTTGCATTATCATTGTTAAGAGTGTAAATATGCTAGGCTAGGTTAGATTTTGACTTAAATAGGTTAGACCTGTATAAATTTTTTTTTATGATTAGCCTAACCTTTTAGCCTGTGTAGGCTCAGATTATAAGTCTGACATGACCCTGTATTCAAAAAATAAAAGTCTTAACAGCCTGTTAGCCTGTTTAAGTTTATTAAATATTTAATCATTAAAAAATAACTAAAATAATATTACTATATCATTCAAAATTATTAAAATAATAATTTTATTTAATATAAATAATATGATATAGGTCGACTTGTAAACTTATAGGTTCGACATGTATAAAAATGTCTATGGCCTGCTTTGTAAATAGGTTTTTTTAAAAGCCTAAGTCTGTTCTATTTAACTATTTATAATATATCAAATCTGACGTAATATAGACTAGGTCGCGGGCCTACCCCATTTACACCCCTGATCATTGTGCAACTTATATGAATTTTTGAATTCAAAAGCCTATTTTTTATAAAGGGGTTGATCATAATGGTTAAGGAGATAAAATATTTTGTGCAGCTTAACTTAAGAATTTTTGTGCATGGTATAAAAAATATATAAATATTTTTGTCAGATCCTCGGTAAGATATTAGCGTGAACAAAAAATGATGGCGCAAAATATATAAATATTGTAAGATATTGAATACAAACTTACTAATTAAATTCTCAGAGAAAAAATAATAATAGAAAAGGTATAATATAGGGATTTAAATAGGGATTAGTGTTTGTCCTTTTTAAGGACATATAATTATGTCATTTTAAGTGAGTGAAAAAAATACATAATAAAAATCATAGAGGAGAAAATGAGATTTTTTTAATTTAAATTTTAAATAAAAAACACTAATCTTAACTAAAATGACCATCCATTAAAATGATAAATATTTTCTCCATTTAAATAATATATAACATCAAAATGCACCACAAACTTTTAAGACTAATATTAGTATTAATTATGTGAGTTATGAGCTCATCAACATTATTTTATTATTTCAATACATTGAAAAGTATCATAACATTGAGAGTAAATATCATTTTTTATCCTCAGCAAATTTCACGATGTCCATTTTAGTTCCTAGCAAATAAAAAGGCCCATGATGGTTCCTAAAAAATTCAAAATGGACTCATTTAGTTGAAATCGTGGTCCCTCACAAATCTAAGAAAGACCCATATATTAGTCCCTAAAAGAATTAAAATGGGTCCATTTTGAATTTCTTAGGGACCACGATGGGCCTTTTTATTTGCTAGAGATTAAAGCGGGTATCGTAAAATTTGACGAGGACCAAAAATGATATTTACTCTAAAAGGTGGTCACCAAAATTCATGATTTTACTGTTTCCCTGTAATTATATATTTATAATATATAATAAGCAGTCTGAACTGGTAACTGCTCAATTGAAATAAAGGATACAACAAAATCAATTAGTAGGGTCTTTGGCCATAATAGTTGCCAGGGGGATAATAATTGCAAGTGATGAATATTGAGCCTCCATTATCACATCTTACTCTGGCACATCCAAGGCGTGTTGAGTTTCCCCAAACAACCTGAGTATAATGCAGGCACTGACCCCCAATACATGAGTTAGAATTGTAGTCATAGTTGCGTTTCTCATTAACCCACATTCTCACTGCATCTTTGCCACTTATACTTAGGTCACCGAAGCTCATTGCCAGATTCTCACCGTAACGACCACCACCACCTGAGTGAATCAGTTGGCAATCACGTTTACGTTGATTAGCATAGTTCTGTGCAAAAGAAGCAACATTGTCATCCCAAACCAACTTTGGAACACCAACCTTTGATCTTGCAGCGTTGTGAGCTTTGACATAGTCTGCTGGTGAGTCTTGAGCATAGGCAACAATAACATGATCCGCAATGAATAAACCTAAGACACATAATAGAGGAAATGAAAACTTGGATAGCGCCATTTTGGCTGATGTATAGAAATGCTAAATTTGTATGTGTTTGATGAAAAAGCTTGGAGCTCTTGTGTGGTATTTATAAGGATTTTCACGTTGGAATTTAAAGGGAAAATTGTTTATCCTTCTAAATGACACAACTTACATCATTTCATTCTCACAAAGAGGTGGAACCCACACATTTATTTATTTTTTTGTCAACTCTTTCTTCTTCTTTATCTATCTTTTCATCTCTCTTAAAATGACACAACTTTACATCCTTTACAATGACACACACTTTTTCCGAATTTAAAATGAGGTAATATGAAATGCATTAAAAACTAAGATTTTCTCATAAAAACTAGAGATTTAATTTATGAAATGCATTAATGACAACTATTAGGAATAAAAAACCGAAGGTAACAGTTTAATGATTTCACAGCATAATTATGAAATGTAATAATGATAAAGATTACAAATGAAAATAAAAAAAAAAGAAATTAAAAATTTGATATAAAATTTAAGAAATGTTTTAATGACAAAGATTACTGGATGATTTTAAGCGATATGTCATTACTAATGAGGGTTGGCTTAATTGGTAAGATAAAAGTCTCTTTTTTATAAAAGGGTTGTTCATTGTTATCAAAAAAAAAAAAAAAAGGGTTGTTCATAATGGTTGAGGAGGTATATTTGCTGCTTTTGATTACTCAACTTCAAACTTTGATTCACCAATTAAAACAATTAATTTCCTTAAATGTGTCAAGCAAATTTCCTTAAATTCACCACTTAAATGCGATAACTAAAGTAGACTTAATCTCAGTTGTCGTGAAAGGTTAGATTTTTATCACTTGTCTTTATATGATGTGTATTTGTGGTGTTAATATATAGATTCGTGATAAAATTAAAATTATAGTTTAAAACTCTAATTTCAATTTTAATTCTCTCATAATTGAAATTGTGTTAAAGAAACACTTCAACCTAAAATCTTAAGGTGTTAGGTGATGATCTTTTTAATGTTTTTTATATTATTCTCTAACACACTCTCTAACGCAAGAGCCATTTGGGCTAGAAGCGTGGATATAACACAAGTCCATTTTTGGTCTGTCTTGTGGTGCACAAGCTCATTTTTTGATCTGCCTTGTGCTTTTCTTAATTCCACCTGAAAGTGGGGGCGGTGAGAATCGAACTTATGATCTCGTGGTCCGTGAAGCTCTGATACCATATTAAAGAACCACTTCAACCCAAAACCTCAAGGTGTTAGGTAATGACATTTTTAATGCTTTTTATATTATTCTCTAACAAATTGATTAAGAATCTTAATTTTATGTTTAGAATTAATGAATAAAAAGTTGAAATATAAAGTTATTATATATCATGTGTTCGACCATAGAGAGATCGAGAGCTTGCTCTGTGACCCGTAGGTAAGTGACCAACAAAAGTATGGCTTAACCACTCATGAAACGGTCCAAGGGTATATACATTGCAGAGGCTGATTGCTAAAAGATGTCTGTGTGACCAGGTTGGTGTGAAGATTAGGATTTAGTCATTCAGAAGATGTGTGCTATAGAGGGTGACCCTAATATTTATAGAGGAAAGATGACTTTGAAATGATAGAGTTTGATTTGAAATCATCTCCTTAATTTCATGTGATCCTCTTCGATTAATTGCCAATTTGTATGATGTGGAACTAATGTGAACTTTTCCTTGAAGATCAGAGTACATGAACACATGGGTGTCAGTCGTAATGATTGTTTGAATTCCAAGGTTGAAAGTTTGATCTTTAAGAGAAGTACGGGAGACTTTTAACTTTTACCGCACCTGCATGGAAACTGCTAAAGCAATATATTTATCTAAAAAAACTAAGAGGGTATGTGTTATGCATGTTATTAAGATCAAATTAACTGGAGGGAACACTATTTGATGATAACTTTCAGAAAGTTGATGAAGTTTATTATAAAGTTAATCATATTAAAATTTATTTTATTTCCGAGTGATCAATATTATGTTCTCTTTTCATTTTTCTAATAAAATGTCATCGTTTATTTATTTATTGATTATAAAGTAGGTATAAGACATAAGGCATGATTTTCTCAAAAGAAAAAGAAAAAAGAAAGAAAGATATATGGCATGATTAGAAAATTCATGATGGATTCACATCCGTTTAAAATTTGGGTTTAGTGAATGTATTTTTAAAGGACATAAACTATTAAAAGTTTATACTTGTAACAGTTTAACTATGCATTTATGGAAATGCATAATAATAATATTAATTTTTTTTTTCTTTTCAGAAATTGTCTGCTGATGTGAAAAGTGAAAAAAAGTATAACTTTAATATTGCAACTATGCATTTCTGAGAATGCATAGTTAAAAATTATTAAAAGGACATAAACTTGTGTTTTTTAAAAGAACACCTTTTTTCCCTTAAAATTTTGACGAAATTAAGGCAGATTATCAACAAGACGGATAAGCTAATTAAAGTGGAGGCAATATGATTTCACTAGCTAGGACTAAACCCCATATTGCACTATTTCAATATATATTAGCTTAAGGTTCTTAAGAAACAAAATTTTCATCTTTGAGCTGTAAAAGAAATACTTTTTAGATGTTTTGAAATCAATTGAATTGTATAAAAAATATAGATATTTTTGTCAGATCTGTAAGTCGACATTAGTGTGAAGAAAATATGGTGGCGCAAAATATTGTAAAGAATTTATATATGGAAAGATTGATTACAAACTTTAATGCATGCTATTAATTAAATTCAAAGAAAAAGAAATATAAGTGGAATAAGATAGGGATTTAACTTATAACATAGCTTACCAAAAAAAAAACTTATAACATAGAATACACCACAAATTTTTAAGACTAACATTATATATTAATATTAATTAAGTGAGTTATGAACTCATTAATATTATTTTATTTCTATTTTTTTAATACAATGATGATAAACATACAATCTCTTACAAATTATTCAAATCTGTCACCACGAGCTCACTTCAAATAACTTTATTTTATTATTTCAATAAGTATCATAACATGAATTTTTAAGGTGGTCACCTAAATTCATGATTTTACTGTTGCCATGTAATTATTTCTTAATACATAAGCAGTCCAAAGTGGTAGCTGCTGAATTGAAACAAACGATACAGTATAGAATGACTTAATTTAGTAGGGTCTTTGGCCAACATAGTTGCCAGGAGGATCATAATTGCAACCGATGAATGTGCCTCCATTATCACATCTTACTTTGGCACATCCAAGACGTGCTGTGTTTCTCCAAACAACTTGAGTATAATGTAGACACTCACCACCAACACATTTGTTAGAATTGTAGTCATAGTTGGCTTTCTCATTAACCCACAATTTCACTGCTTCTGTGCCACTTAGGTCACCAGTGCTCATCGCCAGATTCTCACCGTAACGACCACCACCACCTGAGTGGACCAGTTGGCAGTCACCTTTACGTTGATTGGCATAGTTTTCTGCAAAAGAAGCAACAGTGTCATCCCAAACCAAGTTTGGAACACCAACCTGTGATCTTGCAGCGTTGTGAGCATTCACGTAGTCTTCATGTGAGTCTTGAGCATAGGCAACATGGCCCATAATGACTAAGCCCAAGACACATGATAGAGAAAATGAAACCTTACATAACTCCATTTTGGCTAATATTGTAGTAATGCTATAAATTGGTTAGTGTTTGATGAAAAATGTTGGAGCTTTTGGGAGGTATTTATAGGAATTTTCACATGGAAAATTCCTAGTTAGAAAGGTTTGAAAGCAAGATGGTAGAAACTTTCAGAATGATAATGCGTAAGTGGTCATTAAAAAATTTGATAGATTGCTAGTGGTCAGGCTGCGGTCTACTTAATTAGGCAGAAGGATGAAATTTTGCCTAAATATTTAATCAGGCTGCGGTCTACTTAATGAAAGCAAGCTTTTAAATTATTTTTTTTTTTCCAATTTTAACTTTGCAACATATATATTTGTGTGGCAAGTTTTTTTTTTTGGTATAACCTGGAGGGTATCCTCATTCAACCTCTTCCGGTCATCTTGTCCTCAAAGTACGACCTGAAGGCTACCCCTCATTAGAACAGCGGGTGCATTGAACTTCGCTATCGGAAGAAAGATGAGACTAATATCCCCTTCTAGGAGAAAAGCAAGTAAGTCTTCTTAATTATATATAATTTTGTCCGATCCCTTCCGCAATTTTTTTTATATAAAAAATTAATTCAACTCAAAAATTTAGATTAACTGTTTTGTATTATTGTCGTGCACGAAATAGAGTTTTCAATTTGGAACCAATCATCCAATTCGACATGAAATATATTAATTTAAATCGATTTAATTAAATCAATTTTAATTATTGAATTTATTAACTCAACCAATCCTATCGAAACGCCTAGGCCCTGCAATTAATCGTACTGCCGTGCAAGAAAAGTAAATAGAGTTTGAAAAAAAAAAAAAAAGTAAATAGAGAGAAAATTTATACAGAGCTTGAAATGAAAAACACATGCATGACATCATTTGTTTCTTAATTGCATGACGATCTTCGACTAAATTGTATTCGTGGTTCATGAGTGTCTCGATCGTGGTTCAATCACAGGCTTCAATCAAGGCGTGTCTTGTGGTTCATGAGTTAACTAGAAAAACTACACAACAAAGTGGCAAAGTGCAATGTTCTTTGTGTTTTCTTGGTCCAAACTAGGGGTTTATATATGTAACGTTACATGACAAACCCTTAATTTCCTACAGACAGCATTCTGTGGGGTCCGTTGTATTTTTTTAAAAAGAAAACAAAAAAGAAAGTTGGCCGTTGTTTTTCTATGTATGTGTAGGAAGAAAATTTTGGAAACAGATCCTCTCATGTGAAATTTAACATGATCATGTCATGTGGAAGGATCTTAACCATTAATAATTAAATCAACGGTCATGATTGTGTAACTTCTTATCCTTATATTTTTTTCTTTCTCCTCCTTATCACCATTAATCCACCCATGTATGGTTATAATTGCCTTACATGACATGGTCGTGTTAATTAGCACATGAGAGGATCCACTCCTGAAAATTTTATATTCCTCCAACATAACTTTTCAATTTTGCAAAAAAGATTTATGAAAATCTTTACTTGAATAAGTTGAGATTTTTACTGGTTCAGAATAAAAGGTTGATTCTTATTTTATTTTTTTGATACATAAAGGGTGATTCTTATCACTTTAACATATCCAACAATCATTCTTAAATTTTAGCAAAATCTAGTTGAATAGTTTAGCAATTATTTTTTACTATAATAACATTATTATTCAGATTTGAAAATAATTACTGTTATGGGCTCATGAGAGACACATACTTTAGAAGACCCAATAAGGGACAACATAAAAGGAAAGTTATGCGAGTAAGGAGAAGAATCTTCTATCGGTGACAATATTATCCTGAGTCCTGATAGTCAATGTTGTTAACATTGAGATCTTAAATAAAATCGGAAGAATATTAGAAAATCATAAAACGTAAAATTGTAATGTAAGAAAATCGAAAAAAAATTGTAAAAGCGTTTGAAAATTTAGTAAAATCGTTTTGATGAAAAAAATTGTAAAAACGTAAAATCGTAGTGATAAATCGAGATTTTAACAACAATTGACAGCTATGCAATTTGACTTAGGTCTCCAAATAAGGTTCAGAATTTTGCTATCCACAATTAAACTCTATAAATAAGAAGTAAAGTCTACATGTACGACTTAATCTCGTTCTTACTGTTATGTTGTCACTGTACACACATACCACCTATTGACAAATGTCGTTTCTATCAGTGCACAGTGAGCTGTCACTTTAAAGATATCTCCTTCATAGATATATATCTTTGAGAGAGCATCAGATCCAAAATCAACTTATTAATCTTTGACTAGACATCTCAATCATCTAGACAAAACAATTACATAAATAGATTTTGAATAGAATAACGTAGTCAATACTCAATAGTATCGAATATCCTTATATTAGAAGGATCTCGTAGTCAATGACGACAATGTTCGATGCATTGTTTCCACAATAGTACTGGTTGATTTTAAAAAAAATCATTACAATTAAATCAACGCAATAATTAATAAATGGTCATACAAATTGGCAAATTAACAATTTTTCAATTCTCGATTTTTAAAAAAAAAATGTCACTTGTCCGTTCACGTCAGCATAAAAAAATATCCTTCTACAGTTCTACCAAAAATAAAATAAAATCAATCCTCCCATATGTATTTCTTAGATGGATTTTATACGTGACTTTTTTGGTCACCATATGTGATTGAAAAGTATACATTGCACGTGTTTGTCATGTTATATTCTCATTTGTAACTAATTTGATGTGGGAACTACTGTAACTTTTTTAAAACATAGCAACTTGTGTGCCATAAAAAATATCCACCGAAAAAAGCTATACAATATGGGAAAAAGATGTGTTATTTTAAATGACACACCTTACTAAGGAAGCACAGACACTTGTAAAAACAGGAAGAGTCGGGTCCGACACGCTCCGACACGGCGACACGCTCCGACACGGTGTCGGACACGCGGTTGACTTTTTCCGACACGTTGACCATTCCGACACGCGAATTTGACCGTGTCCGACACAGTCAAATGGCATTTTCGTAATTTTTTTTAATTTTTTTTTTTAAAAATTTATATTTTTTTAAAAAGTTAAATATATTAATAAAGCTTCCACCTGATCTTATCAATTTTGTCTTTTTGTCTTTTTTCCCCTTAACTAGATAAGAGATCATCTCAACATCATTGTTGTCAATTCCTATCACGCTCTTGTTGTATCTTCTTCTCTCTGATCTCTCTCTAATATGATTTGATCTCTCTATCTGATATTATATCCCTCTCTCATCCCAGTTCTTATTTTTTTTATTAAAGCTTCCATCTTTATAACGTGTTGATGGGTATTATTAATTTAGTTTCATTTTTTTGTTAAATTATTAAATATTAAATGAAATATACACTATATAAATTAAAAATATTATTTAATATTAAAACGTGTCCCAACGTGTCGAAATCCATAATTTTTTAGGATTGACGTTTCGGAGTGTCGTGTCGTGTCGTGTCACGTGTCGCGTGTCGTATCGGTGCTACATAGCACCTTACATCCTTTCACTCTCACAAAGAGGTGGGATTCACATCATCTTTAACATTTTTCCCCTCCACTCCCCCCACAGATTTATCTCTTTCTCTAACTTCAAATGACACAATTTTTTGTCTTTTAAAATGATATACATTTTTTTCATACAATATACGGTATATTTATTTGGAAATTGTTTTCTTATGTGACAGGATAAAATTTATCTCTTATAGACACATATAAAGGAGAGAGAAAAGAGAATATAGGAGAGAAAACAAAATATAAATAGATCCAATCTTTTTATATGTGAGTGTGAGAAAGAAGTTTTATCTTACGTTAAAAACAAGGGAATGTCATAAAAAAAAAACAAGGGAAAACATTTTCTCCTTTTAAAGGAGAAATTTTTTCTCATGTTAGTGACTCATAATATAGGTGGAGCCCACAAAATAGTGGAGAAAAAAAAAATTCAAGATGGGACCCACTTATGTTATGAGTCACCAACATGAGAAAAAATTTCTCCTTTAAAAAGAGAAAATGTTTTCCCTAAAAACAATTCCCATATTTATTAGTTTAACGTATAAATCACCGGCTAAAACTCGGTGAGAAAAAGTGAAAAGTACAAAGAAACTTCCCTAAGGGATCTAATAAATCAATAAATTAAAGAAATATTTAATTTTTAGACGGCAATATGATAGCGAAAATATTTTCAGCAAACTATAATTTAATAGAGAAACAAATTTAGATGAAATTTGTTTCTTTAAAAGTATAGCATAAGATATTGTTACTACCAAATAATGTTATTATTAATATTACTATTATATCTTAACTGTTGATTTTTGTCAATCAACAGTTATCATTTATTACTCATTAATAATTAATTAATGAGTTTGATTTGTGAAAATAATAACTGTTGATTGACAGAAATCAACAATTAAGATATGGCAATGACAATTGTAAAAATATTATTCATAATTTTCTGACAAATGTCTTAACGACACTAGTTAAATTATTTAAAACAAAAAAACATTGAATATGTAGTAAAGTAAAAAAAAAAATTATTAATAAAAAAATATTAATTATTTGTTAATTAATCCCCTAAAAATGAGAGTATAACCCTACTTGCTCAGTAAAGTCAACAATACAACCGAAAGTCTTCCTACGAAATAGAGACCTTAAAAAATTGTTTCAATGGGTCCCAACAGTTAAAGTTTCTGACCCTTTTACATATTCCGTAAGTCTTGCAACCAGCACAAATTAAGCAGTAAATTCTGCCTAGTTAACCTGAACGGAGCCCGCCTTTTTTGTGCGTGGATTCAGCATCATTCTTTTAAAATGTTTTTTTAAATCTTTAATTTTCAAAGAAACTTCATTTTAATTTTTTTGACCGTATACAAGGGTTTATTCAGTCAAAAAATTATAACCATGTATTACGGATAATATATAATTATAATATTAAAATTATTTTATTAATTATGTACTACAAGTAGTACATAATTATAATATTAAAGTTATTTTTTTAATTATGTATTACGGATAATACATAGTTATAATATTAAAAAAAAATTACAAAACGATACTAATATTATAACTATGTACTACTCGTAGATCATAATTAAAAAAATAACTTTAATATTATAACATTACCTATAATACATTGTTAAAAAACGTGTAACTAAACAAAGGGATAGGATATTGTGACACCCAAGTTATGTTACACCCATGTTACATCCAGTCAATCTCACCGTTAGATCGCTTATGTTGATCCAACGGTTATATTTATTTTCACCTTTGTATGGTCATGATTTCCCAAATTTAAAGTGGAAGCATTAAATATGAGAAATCATAACCATACAAAGGTAGAAATAAATATAAAATATTAAATTTAGGAAATCATGACCATACAAAGATGGAAATAAATATAACCGTTGGATCAACATAAGCGATCTAACGGTGAGATTGACTGGGAGTCACATGGGTGTAACATAACTTGGGTGTCACAATATCTTATTCCCTAAACAAAACTTTATATCCAATCACATATAAACAATTTTTCCTATATAATTTGAAGAGTTATAATTAAGCATGATAATTTTTAACACACAACCCGCTCATATGACAGGGCGGACCTAGGGGAGGTGCAATAATAGATGGTCGTCCCTTCGTAAATTTTGATTTTTCTATTATATATATATAATGATATTTTTTAATAATAATTAATTATTAGCGTTAATAGCTAGTTCCTCCCTATAAATTATTTGTTATAATTAACCCCTCTCATTAATCTTAATAATATTTGTAACTTTGATATATTATTTTCACTTCCTTCATAAAATATTCTAGGTCGAAATGACACAAACACGACATCAAAAATTTGTTTTCGAGTTAACCAATTTTTAAATTTGTGTCGTGTTTGTGTTAATAAAAAATGTGACATGAGCACCACTAGGGATAGCCTAGTAGTGTTGGGTGTGTTTAGGGTGTATTAAATGTGCGGTTCGATTCTCTGTAATGTCCAAAAAAAAAAATGTAACATGAAAAAGTTTGTATTATGTCGCATGTTAACCTGAAAACATGAAATTAACCCGCGTTAATATTTTTATATGTTATTTGTGTTGTCACATACTGTATTTTGTCAACTTATATAAAAAAAGTCACTCTTTGATGTTGGTGTATTATTATTGTAATATTGTATCGTATCAATTTATAAAATGAATAAGTCGTGTTTGTATTGAAAGTTTTGACTCTGTTCTCAAATTAATCAATATTATGCCTATATTAAGTGTATTGTATTCGTAATAATATTAAGCTGGTAATATCAAACCAAAATACCCCTAGTTATTATTTGAGGTAACTTTATTATTTGAAATTTGGAGGTAACTTTAAATATATTCTATTTGGTTTTTTAAAAATTATTTGCTTTAACTTTTTATTATTTATTTCTTCTATGATTATTTTACAGTCCTAGTAGATTTAAATATCGTTTAAAATTCTAATTATTTTATTTTTATGAATAATAACCAAAAAATTATATCGTTTTTGCTCTTAACTATGTCTTATTTTATTTTTTATTTTATTTTTTTGGTACATTGTCAGGAGGTATCCTCATTCAACCTTCTCCGTGCACCATGCCCTCGGGGTACGGCCCGTTTGGGCTAGCCCCTCATTGTAACAGTGGGTGCACTAAGCTTCGCAACCGGAGAAAGGACGAGACTAATCCCCCAACCGAAGATTTTTTGGCTTATCCTCTAGCCCCCAAAGATTTTCCAAGAAACTGCTTGAGGCAGGGTTTAATCCCTGTACCAAGCAATCCCTTAGGAGCTCAGCTGCCAACTGAGCTACCCTTGGGGGTTAACTATGTCTTATTTTAAACATCAAACAATAGATTTGTATAAGGCCGAAATTTGAAATGATTAAAAATAAAGAAAAATAGATTATATATTGTGTACAGAAGAATAACTTTAGCATATTTTCGTTTATTTAGACGGGTTTGGATAATTTCAGATTAAACTACCAAAAGTTTACCCTATTATTTAATTGTAACCAGATATCATGAGTGTGAAAAGTTTAGAACCAATAATTCATTCTGTACAATCAAGCACGTGAATCAATCGTAAAGAATTGTTTTAACTTAACCAGTGATCTCAAATTTAATCAAGAATTTGGAACACAAACGTGATATTATCCGACTCGAATCGAACACACACAACGGCCGGACCTACATTTGTTATTATGTCTTCAATTGCAAACATTAATTTTTTTTTTTGTGTGGTTGAACCTGATGATTTTGGTGGTTAACATTTGATGATTTATAGTACCCCTGTCTACATATGATTTATGTTAAGTGCAAGTTTTTTTTTTTAATTTTTTCATTTTTTAATGTCTTTAAAATTTTTATTAAAATTAAAATTCGGAATGCAGCCCCGATACTAAATATGCACACACAAATATAATTTTCTGGGTCCCTCGTTAGTGCGCATATATATATATATATATATATATATATATATATATATATATATATGCGCGCGCGTGATTATTCTCTTTTCTCTTGTGATATGCTCATTCACGGCTTAGTTTGAAAAGTTCAGACCCAATAAAATTATTGGGAACCAACATCATTCGTTTGTCAGCCGGCTGAGAGAGAAAGCACATGTATCGCTTCGCGCAATCTAGCTAGTGACCCGTGAACCCATTTTGGCACCACTCTAACTTCCTATCTTCCAACAAACCAATCTCGTTAACACACGACATACTTGGACTTTCCTATCTCAGAATCTGTATCATAATATAGAGCAAAATTTGGTTCTGTATAATTATAAAATTATAGCTAATTATTGATCTGATCTGAATAAGATGACAGACTTGATACGTTATCTTATTTAATATATATAATTGGTCCATTATACATACTATCGATCGACTAACTAACTAACCCTAGCAACAGGTACCCAATGTTAAAGTTGGAGATTGATTTAGGGAACAAAATTCGTATTCGGATAATTATTAATTCGAATTTATTCCGCTTTATAATGGTGTGCTGTCGTTTCCGTTGTTATTTGCTATTTGGGTCAATTGTTGCAGTTACGGTTAGAAGCCGTTTCTAACTGCCCATTGCATACAGCAGCTAATGCCTTGTGGGTGAATAATGATATACTAGAATTAATGTTTTATTTATCATTCTTAACGTCACATGAATCAATTTTATTACCAGTAGCTAATATATTTTTAAAATTTTTAAAGTGATAAATAATTTAAAAATTAGGGTTTAATGTTTTTCTATAAACAGTAAATAATTTTATTTCTTATATATATATATATATATATAAAAGTTGGTAGACTTCATTTTTTTTTATTTCTTCTCTTTTCCTGTCAGTATCCCTTTAAATTAAGAAAATAATTTTTTTCTTATAAGATGGAGATAATTTTATTTTTTTGTACTCACATGAAATTGGGTGAAGCCCGGTGAGAAGAGAAGAAAGAAAGAGAAAAGGAGGGTTGCACCAGTTTCATATGAGTATAAAAGGTAAAATTATCTCTATTTTATAGGAAAAATATTAATCTCTTAAAACATTTTAAAATAAGATTATCTTGAAATGAGAGTATCATACACCATCAATCCAACGCTTCGTTTGGACAGCCATACCATCAGTTTAATTCCGTTTATATATGCAAATAGCATGAAATCACATTAAACAACATTAAATGTGAATGTAAAACACTATGATTTTTGACTCAAATAACATCGTTTTCTGTGAAAATTAGACAAAGATATCTTAGGTAACTTTAGACAAAGGGAAATAACATAAAATGGATTTTAGAGACTATAATTCAAAGCTTCTCTTTTTTCTGCAGTTACTACCGATAAATTATCTACAGTAAGTCGAATACGACGTCGTTTTGGACGGAAATCATGGTTTTTTGTAATTTTAATTTATTTCAGGATTATTATAGTCTTTATAATTATAATTTTCTAATCTTTCAATCCCAAAACGACGTTGTTTTGAGAGTAAATGCAGAAATATTTTTCTGATAATTCAAACTTATATCACTGAACGACAGGACACAAGGAGATACTAGATAATATTATAATATAAAAAAGCAAAGCAAAGAGAATCAATAAGGTCTTTCGCCTTCAACGTTGCCTGGTGGGGAATAGCTGCAAATGACGAACATCCAGCCATTGTTACACTTTGATCTAGCACACCCAAGATGAACCGAACCGCTCCAAACAATCTGAGTATAATGCAGGCACTCATCATGAACACAAGAGTTGGAATGGTAATCATAATAGGGCTTTTCAGTTAGCCAAAACTTCACCGCGTCTGAACCCTTCATTTCACCGTATCCTTCAGCAAGATTCTCACCAAAAGGCCCCATAGAGTGCTCCAAGTCACAGTCACTGATTCTCTCGTTGGCATAGTTCTGAGCATAGGCTTCGAGGGTGTGATTCCATGAGAGTGGAGCAACACCAACCTCTGCACGAGCTTGATTATGAACATCAAGGAAGTCTTGAGGGGAGCTCTGGGCTAAAGAAATGTAAGACAAGGTTGAACAGTATATGAAGAAAATAATGGCTAAGATCACATGGCTTGGGGACCTCATTTTTTTTGTTCTTGTTTGGTTATGGTTCTTTCTTTGAGAATTAATGTGTGAGACTAAAGGATATATGGTTCAAGGTATTTATAGCAAGAGAGTGGAGCAAATCAAGCTAGCTAGCCATTGAAACAGAAGCAGCAATAGTTCTTCTATAAAAAGAAAACACAAGAAATATTGGGCCTGTTTGAATGGGGTGTTTGAAATTAATCTGTTTTGAAAAATAACTTGTAGAAAAATAAATAAAAAATTGTTTAATAAGACTTGCTTTGCAAAAAATTAAAAATTAAAAATTTAAAAAATTATAATTGTTTTTTGTTTTTTTTTTTAAGAATCAAATTTAGAAAACATAATGAAGTTATTTTTTGTTTTTATTTTGACTTTTAACTTTCAAAATACAAAAAATATAGAAAACACCTATTTCATTAATTATTTTATAAAATAATTTTAAGATAAAAAAATCAAAATATTTTTCAAATTAAGCTAGTGGGTAGCCTCTTCTCCTCCTCTCTTCTAGATTCCCTGAAAAAGAAAGTATTAAAATGATATTTGCACACTCCAATATTTATATCACTTTATACTTTTTTTATTTTATTTTTGGAAAGAACATATGCAGATAGAATATATCAAAATGGTGTAAAAATGATTTAAGAAAAATAATGGTAAATTATAGATAAAGAAACATGCCTATTTGGTCTTCTCATTGTCTAAATTCGATAAAAAGAAAAAGAAAAAAAGGGAAACAAATCAGCTGAAAAAAGTGAGTAGGTTGATGCGGAGGGGGAAAGGTTAAATTTGATACCGCCGAATACAAACAAAACGTGCATGTGCTTCTGTATGGCCATAAGTGAAAGTATAACTAAAAAATAGATTATATTTTATTGCTCACTGATACCTAAGTTATCTCTTTTGTCTGGATTTGTTCTTTTTACTAATTATTAATTATTCACATAACATCCAACTTAAGTATTGCTTTAACAGTGCATTACTTTTTTTTTTTATCCAAAAAGTTTAAGTGGGATTAACAGTACATTGTACTAAGTTTTAAGGTTATCGCAGTGATATTAATTATGTAATTCGCATTAAATACTTTTCATCACGCTATGAATATAAAATATCAATTTTTATTTTTGGAAACATGATAGAAATCAAAACACACAATACAAAGCACACATTCTGGGGAGTCAATGTCCCATGTCATCATCATTTTGTAGAAAGAACTCACACAGCCAGAAGGGTGGATGAGAGAAATTTCAATAAGGACTAAATTATGGTAGCTTAGTTGGTATCAGGGAACTGAGCAAGTGAGAGTGAGATGATGCTTTAATCTTTTTCAGTACTGTCTTTGAGAGGAGTGTTAAAATCTTAATTTCGGGACTCGTCCCGAATTGAACTAGTTACGAAATGATGAACCGATTGTAATATTTTTTTAAAAAAATAAGGCAAGACTCTTTTTCTTTATTTTTATTTTTATTTTTTTTGTATTGCAAGGCATGACTGATGACTCTCTTTACACTGGTGGCGTGATTCATTTCAGATTTCATCATTTTAGGCATTTTGTTATTTTGCAAATTTTTTTAAGGTTCCGTTGGCCCGGCCTGTCAAGTTTTTTTTTTTTAAATGTTATTATTTATTTGACAATTTGTATATATAAGGTTCAACTGTCTCGATCATTTTTTTTTCAACAGTTTTATTAGAAATTTAACTAATTTGATGCGAGCATTGATGGAGTCATATAAGGGACGGCATTGATAGGGTTTTTCCCAAAATAATTAAGGATGAATTTAGATATGTTTTGGGGAAACTTTATGGTATAAATTTTTGTAGAGATTTTTCAGAAGTTATTTTTAATTCTTGAAAAAAATGCTAAGCTTTTTTTAAAAAGATTTTTATTCAAAAAAATAATTATCATAATATTTTTAAGATAATTTCCACAATGATTTTGATATTTTTTTTCTCTCTTTTCGTTAAATTGATGTATAAGATTCTATTTCCTCTATGAAAAACATTCTCGTTTGACATTTGCTACATGATTCCATTTTAGTAGAATATATATATATATATATATATATATATATATATATATATATAGGAGACTGTTATACTTATCACCAGGTAAGTTTATCACCCTTTCAACCAATCTCATCACCGTTAGATTAGAATTAAATCTAACGGTTCATAATTATCTCTTATAATCCTAATTTTTACTCTCCCATTTCCTCTCTCTCGGTTTGCGATTTGCATGATCTATTAAAATCTGAGTTATCTTTACATTTCTTTTTGGTTGAATTTGTAGGAACTATTGGATTTATGCGGAAGCGATTTAGGATCTAGTACATTGATATGCTTACCGAATTATCCTCGTTTCACAATTACCTCTTGGTGTGCAGGTCTCGTGTAGAATCTTCTCATGTATGATTCCTCTACATGAACAGCTCACCTCAGCGCCGCAGCACGAACAACCTCCTTGAAGCTGGACCGTGGCAGATCTTCCAGACTATGTCTCGAGGGAAAATGAGAAGTGTGTGGGCACTCTCTCACTTTCAGGGAGATGACCTTACCTCAACCTCTGCAACCACCAAGTGAAGACTAAAGAGGCTGATGACTATAAGTGTAGAATATATATGGGTTCCAAGAAACCTTAGCCCTAAGCAGAATGAACTTTAGGTTTCTTGGGCTCTTCTTACACACTAGACCCTATTGGACTTTAGTAAAAGAACAAAACCCAATAGAATTTAGCATGATCAATTAAAATATGAGTTATCTTTACATTTCTTTTTGGTTGAGGTCAATGTAATGAGGTGCGGCTATACTCCTTTTTTTTTTGTGTAGACGTCTCTACTCCTTTGTTAATGTGTTTCAAAGCCTTGGAAATTGATAGTAATGAAGAGTGAAAATGTTCACGTAAACTAATTTGAGCAAGGTTGATGAATTATTAATAACATACATGTGGATGAAAGAGTACATATATAATGAATTCTTTCAAAAGAATTGTGATTTTCCAAACCTATTCAGCAATGATGGAAAGAATTAACTCACGTGTCCGATTATTCGTCTTGGTGAAATATTTTTGCTGGAACTGAAGATCAAAGCGCTGTAACAATGAAAAGAGGATGAGAGAGGTGATTCTCAAACCAAGAGAGAGAGACAGAGTGGGGGATGGGAGAGTAAAAATTAGGAAAGCGATAATTATGAACCATTAAATTTAATTCTAATCTAACGGTGATGAGATTGGTTGTAAGGGTGATAAGTATAACCGTCCCCATATATATATATATATATATATATATATATATATATATATATATATATATATATATATATAGGATAGGTTATTGTGCCTACTCCCATTTTACCTACTTTTGCCTACCCTTTTGTTACCGTTCGATTATCATCCAACGATCCATATTTGTGATATAAAATAAATCTTTTTTTCTCTCTTTCTTCTCACTTTCTCCCGTACCATTTCTCTTTCCTCCCCTTTCTCTCTTCCGCTGCCATATACCTTCTTCTTTTTTCCTTTATCGTTAATCTCTGCCCAGATGAACAGCGCGGAAGCATTTGAAATCAATTACCACAGCATTTGAAATCATCGTATGATGGTTCCAGAGAATGCCAACATCGCTAATAAAGGGTGTGGATCCAAAGTAATTGTTTCAAAATCCAGGGCGTGGATCAAAAACGACGATTTCATCCTTATGGTAATTGTTTCAAAAAATCATAAATCCACAGAACAAAAATCACAAACGATTTCAGAGAAGGGGCTTATTTTTAGTGCAGACAAGAGTTTTAGCATAAATATGATGTTGTTGAGCAGAAAAATATCAGCGCCATTCCCAGCAGCAAGCAAATTGTGTTGCTGTTTGCGGAAGATAAACACATATATGTAATTAATTAGAATATAAAAATATAGATTTAAAAACCCATCCGGTAACCAAAATCAATATTCATTGCGTATCCCTAAACAAAAATCTCCAACAGGTGCTTATTCCTTAGGGTTCATAGAGCGGGTCTTAATTTCACTGAGCATACAGAAACTAATGAAGGATGTGTTGGGATCTGATTCGTTTATTTGTCGTTTCGTTTATTTGAATGTTTCGATTGTTGTATTGTGTTTTGTGTTTATTTGTATTTTGTTTCGATGTTGTATTGATGATGTAATTTTTTCATCGATAATGAGGAAGAGAGAAAGTGCAGAAAAGAGAAAGGATGCGTGAGAAAGTGAAGAGAAAGAAAAGAAAAAAAAACGTTTATTTTATTTCATAAATATCTACCATTGGATGAGGTTGTAATCTAACGGTATTGAATGGGTAGGCAAAGGTAGGTAAAATAAGAGTAGGCACAATAACCTATCATATATATATATATATATATATATATATATATATATATATATATATATATGGGTTCACTTTTTCTGTAGATAAGTTATCTGCAGTAAGCCCAATACGACGTTGTTTTGGGACGGAAATCATGGTGTTTTTGTAATTTTAATTTATTTCAGGGTTATAATAGTCTTTATATTTATATTTTTTTAAGATTTCAATACCAAAACGACGTCGTTTTGAAAAAAATGCAGATTATTTATCTGCATTAACTGCAGAAATATATATATAGGGTTCGATTTTTTTCAGTCACTTTACGTGTAGTAGTGACAATTTTTCATATATATAGGTTAAAGCATTTAATGTGGGAATCATAACCATACACTTGTCGTTGTTGTACGTAAAACGGCTGCAGAAATGATTTTACTGTACGTAAAGCGGCTTCAGAAATGATTTTACCCTATATATATATATATATATATATATATATATATATATATATATAGGGTTCGCTTTTTCTACCGTCAATGTAGATAACTTATCTACATTGAGCCCAAAACGAAGTCGTTTTGAGACAGAAATCATGTTATTTTTGTAATTATAATTTATTTCATAGTTATAATAGTCTTTTTTATTATTAATTTTTTAATTTTTCAACCCAAAACGATGTCATTTTGGGAGCGAATGTAGATAATTTATCTACATTCA